GAGATGATTTCACTTAATGAAATCACTTAAAACAAGTAAAACAAATGGCAATAAATAAGTTAAATAACACCATAATAAGCTCATTAAAACTCTCAAAACTACTGTAAAACGATGTCTCAGTCATCAGGCAGTGTATTCATAAACAACAAAGGTGGACGTCTGGTTCCTATCACCACCACTGTGAACAGTTCTGACTCGGAAAGTTTCTCTGAAACGGAGCGTTTTACACCAAATCACTCTGACTGACCTTTACTGATGTGTTAACCATTTAATTATATAGACATTTTGAAAAATCTGAGTTCCCTTTGACCGATAGCCTAGAATAGTGTTTCTCAGCCCTGCTCCTGGAGGCCTACTGCCCTGCACCTTTTAGTGTATTACCTGCTCCCAACACACCTGATCCAACAAACCAGCCGATTAACAGCCCGTTATTGTATTAAGGTGAAAGGAAAAGCAGCAATATGTGCAGAGCAGTGGGCCTCCAGGACCAAGACTGAGAAACACTGGCCTAGACAGCTCAGATACATGAGCATTAAGACAAATTTCACCTATTTTCAAAATCTTCACAACTGTGTGGTGTTGTATGTTCACAGTGGTGGTGATAGGAACCAGATGTCCACCTCTAAAAGCTCCATCACAGAAAGTTGTTACCTGAACTGCAATAGTTTTGAGAAGGTTTATTAGTTGATCTATTCCTAATGTAGAAGACACATGTAGGTTCAGACACATTATCAGACACGCTCAGTTATGCAGAAAAATTGAAAAAGTGGTGGAATTCCACTTTTAGCAAAGTGAGCTTTGGTAACTTGAATAAATGTGATTTATCTGGTGTAGTTTACACAAAAAAAACACTATATATATATATATATATATATATATATATATATATATATATATATATATATATATATATGTATTTGGGTTTGTCTTGGCATATTTGCCGCTGCTCATCACAGAAATATGACACACAAGTAAATGACAAATAAATGGAGATGTATTAACTTATCAGTTATTGGTTTAAGGTTAATATTCTATTCTCTGGGTTATAAACATGCTGTGGAAGCTGCAGCGCTGCAGGGTTTCAGTCTGTCGCAGGTTAGGACAGGCGTGTGTGTGTGTGTGTGTGTGCTGGCGTGTTTTCAGTCGGCGCAGCAGTCGAGCCCTGCTGTGCTGACAGGTTTAGTGCTGGCGCGTCACATCTGCTCACATCAAAGACTTACAGTAGCAAGAAGTAGCTGATTAGTCAAATGTTCAGGAGTGTTTACAATAAAATACAGTCACAGCCTGAAGGGCTGACTGTCAGAATCTATTAATGACAGCATCATCACAAGCTATAAAACTGACAGACAGACAGACAGACAGATAGATAGATAGATAGATAGATAGATAGATAGATGATACATCATATACTCACGCATCGTTCCAGCTGAGATAAAGGACGATACACACTAATGTAAGTGCAGACTGTTAATAACCAATTAAAGAGAACTGTACAGTTTAAAACAGAGCGCTAACAAAAGGGATGTCTGTTCCTGTTCTGTCTTCTTCAGCTGAATCGGACAAAGTGACCGGGTCATGCCCTTTCCCCTAAAACTACTGAGTGTGACCTTAATCATTTGAAGCAAACTCGAAATATGAATATATGTGAAATATTAGGACGGCACTTGTGAAAGAGTGCTGATCATTATTATTAGCGAGTATCTGATGACCATCATCAGGCTTTGCTTTTGTGCATAGTTTACATACCTGCTCTGTGCTGTCACACCTGTTTACTGAAACCCCCTCACTACTGAAATCCCCCACTACCGAAACCCCCTCACTGCTGCTGTCTGCCTCCGGCCCCACCATGGACTTTACACTGTGATGTACGGACACAGCGCTGAGTCCCAAATGCTGCTGGACGATGTATTGAAAGTTCAATGCTTTTTTAATACTACACTCCTAAAAAGATGGTTCTTTAAGGTTTGTTTAGCAAACAAAACACTCAGAGAACCCTTTGCATGGTTAAATGGTTCTTTGCATTGTGAAAGTGTTCTTTAGATTGGTGGAGGATGTGTGTGTACATGGTTCTACATAGAAACTTCTCAAAATGGGGTCTAAATAGCACCCAAAAGCGTGCTTCTACACTCTTAAAAAAGATGGTTCTTTAAGGGTTTTTCAGTACAGAAAATGGTTCTTTGTAGAACTGTGCGCATTCAAAGAACTCTTTGCATGATTAAATGGTTCTTTGCATGGTGAAAGACTTCAGATTGATGGAGAATGTGCTGTGGATTGAAAAGGGTTCTATATAGCACCCAAAACTGTTCTTCAACTGTTACAAGCTTGACATTGTCACAGTAGAAGAATGCTTTTGGGTACTATATAGAACCCTTTTTTAAAATTGTTCTATACAGAACCATATACAACACATTCTCCATCAATCTGAAGAACGCTTTCATCATGCAGAGAACCATTTAATCATGCGAAAGGGTCTTTAAGTGCTCATGGTTCTATATTGAACCATTTTCTTTACTAAAGAACCCTTGAAGAACCGTCTTTAGGAGTGTATAATAGTAGGCGTTTGGTGTTCCTGGCTCCCAAAAAGAATCAACATCCGGTTTACTTCACCACTCTGGTCAAAGGCAAAAGTTGGGAAAACTGAACTCTTGACGGAACGTTCCGCTCACCGCTGCGTTCTGCAGAACCATGCCACTGGCAGTGGTTCCATTTGAAACAACAGAACGTCCAGCTTGCCGTCAGCTACCACCAGCATGTAAATGCATCACATGAATGAATTCACCACGAATGCAGCACTGAAACTTTCAACACCATTGGTTTTTTACTTAAACAGTCTAAAATCACACAATAAAGGCACTAAACTGTCACTGGGGCGGTTCCCCTCTTGTCACTGAGGTGGAACCCTCAAGGGTTCATCTCAGTACCTTTAGTCAGGGAACATAACTGAACCATAATCCACTGAAATGATATTCTCTAAGCTGTACTGACTCCACACACCCCGTCTCGTCTCCAGGACTTTTATTTTATTATCTGTTTTAAAACATTCGGTTACGAAAAGATAGATGGGTCATTCTCCATTTGGAGGGGAAACCATGTCACAAAGTTTACAGGGCTTAAAATATCAGGCTCTAAAAGTCAGTATGTACATTTACACAGTTGAAGATTAAATAACACTTTTCCCTTCTGATTCTCTCATTGTTCTCTTTTTATCCTGTTTCATATTCGCTCTGCATCTGTAAAACAGCTCATCACAAAACCAACTTTCAACATTTGAGAAACCATTTTAATATAAAACAATATTTTTAAGAGGTTTAACTTAAGAATTTGTGTAGAACAGATTCATGTTTACTTTTTATATCATTAATATTATGCTACAAATTAAAAATATTTTATTTAAAAATCTATTTGTCACAGAGGTTGTGGTCTCTGGTGTTATCAGGACTCTTATTTTACATTGTAACAGTATTTTCAGCTCTATTAAACTGCTTCTTTGGGTCGAGGCTCATCAGAGAGGAAGCGTCTCAAGGCATGAGAAGGCGAGTCACACTCGCTCACTTTATTCATTAATTTATTAATAATTTTGTTTATTAGGCAGCTTCATAACTTCTATGTGTCACTGGTGTTTTGTGCTTTAATGGCTGGGTAATTAAAAATTTGCCAAAATAATACCAAATTATCATTTTAATTACTGGTTTTAAATAGTCTCACAAGGTCACCTGATCAGACAACGAGTCAGCCAATTTACAGAATCCTCAGTTTTAACCAGAATAAACTGGAGTCACCGTCACTGGTGTTACACCATATTCATACAACACCAGTGACTGTAAATATGTCTGGAATTCAGCTCTCCTTTCTGCTTATATGATAATAGGAGATGTTAATGGGCATATTAAGATTATTTAGTTGATGAAAGAAATTGATTTTTTAAAATTGTATCCACCTGAATTCCCACTCCAAATGGAGAACGACCCACGTATACATACTTTTCACCTGGAAAAGCTTGTTTAAGGTTCACAATCAGACCTTAAAACCACTGTTGTACCTTTGAAGGAACATTTACACTGTTTGTACCTTGATGAATGAGAAATGTACCTGAAGAGAACCTTTATTTCTAACAGTGTGCTGATGTTGTACTCTGTCAGTTGAACTGTGGGTGCTCATGCTTTAATTACACAGGCTTAAATAAACTGTGCACGCCTTTCATACTTAATATATTCCTGATCAGTCTGTTATTAATGCCTTTTCTCTAATTTTAAGCCTTTTTACACAGACAAGGCCTCAGATATCACAAGCTACTTTTGCGGCTGTGTTCCAAACAGCATTTTTTTTTTGCCTAGGTCCAAAGGCAGATGTTTACGCAAGAAAGTACAGCTGTTTCTCCAGACTGAAGGGTTTAATTTTGCGCCTCTACCACTTTATCCTTTAAACACAGGGGTTATTCTGCAACCATTACCTGCTAACACACATCTGAACTATTCGTCAAAGCGGACAGCAGGCAGGGTGAAGCTGTGTCCACCCAATACATGCTTTTATAAGATGATTTACAGCACAAGCTTCGGCAGTAAAAACTAGAATAATGGACTTTTAGTCTACATCCTCAGTGAAGAGGACAGCGTACAGGCCTGTGCAGCACTTTGCAGTCGTGGAACATGATTAAAAATGATAAAAAATCATTCAAAATTCAATCGCAAGCTCATTTTTTTGGGTCTTTTGGGTCTTGAATTAATTCCTTGCTCATCCACGTTGTGTCTGTTCACTGTGGGGGGCTACAAACTTGCTTTTTACAAGCAGTTCAGCTCTGTTTGAAGTCAGACTTTTATTAGTTTGAACCCTCGAAGCTAGACAGCATGCAGTTTTTAATGAGGCCAAAGCTGAGGTCAGACCCAGTTGGGGCTTCTGGCAGTAGGAGGGGCCAACAGGATGGGAGGAGCAGCACAGCCATCACAGCCAATAAGAATAACAGTGTAATTAGCATAATTATCAGTTTTGTGGTGGATATTTAGTCCAGATTCCCGTTCTGACCACTCATACCTGGGTACTGACACAGGAGCGCCAGCACAGGTGGGCCACCTTTTTTAATTTGGGTATTTATTCATATTCAAAATAACTGAGTTTTAATCAATATCAGAAATATCAATACTGTATGTTGGTAGTATAATATACTGCTTAACTATAACAAAAAATGGAAATCTAGCGATACAGCATACTGTATCATACAAATCATACAAAATAATGTCATATTAACTGTACAGCAAATGCAGAACACAGGTTTTTATCTTGGGAACTGATCTGGGTTTATTTAGATAAATTATGAAAACCTGTACTAATTTTACTGGTAGTTTTTTTTTTTTATTCTTATGTTTGAAGGTGTCGGAGATGAGCCCCTCGATGCCCATCATCGGGACCCTGTCCTGGATCTTAATACTGCCGAGTAAGTTACAAATGTTTGTACTTATATTACCTGTACCTTCCAGTTAAACTCCAGCTGTGTGTTTTTAATAATATTTTTCCTGATTCAGCTCTTCTACAGGCCACATCTCTCACAAAGCTCACTAATAAAGGTAATAAGAGTATTTCTTTTACACATTTAAATATAGGTTTTTATAGTACACACACACACACACACACACACACTCAAAGATATGGAGAATGTAAAATGATAAATAGAAGTTAAAATGATCTGTACAGTACACTGTATGTTGTTTATGATATGATTAAATAAATATATCATTGCTGGCCAAAGAAAACCATATGTCTCCAAAATCATAACTTTACAGGAGAGGGCGAAAACTTTCTTAACTTTTAATATAGATTAATATAAAGAGCTTTTATTTGTAATGATTTTGGAGCATTTCTATTAGTCCATTCATCATAAAATGTTCATAAAATATAAAGGAAGCTGCTAAATCAAGTGGAAAAATAAAAATTGGGTTTTTGAGGACAGCAGTGACGCTATATATACATATAGATACATATGTATATATATATATATATATATAGTATATACATATATATATATGTATATATATATATATATATACTCCCTTAAATGTGACATCTGCAGTTGTAGTGCACAATATCTATTTATTTGCTTAGTTTTAGGATCTATTAACCTATTTTTTACTTTGCAAATCAACAAAACCTAAAAACAATGTATTTTGAGCAGGGTGCACAAACTTTTGCACATTACTGTATGCATGAACTTTGAATGTTCTTATAAATCAATGCCACAATTCATGTATAAACACTGAAAAAATTTAAAAAATACATTTGTAGCTTATTGACATAACATTGTACGTCACATATGTAAATCTTGTGTGTCAGCGTCCGGTCAGCCTGTGAATGCAGTGAGCATCGACACCGCCCAAGCCAACAGCTTCCTCGCCCACTCACGGCCCCGACGCGCAGGAGACCCCAAATGGTACCAGAAAGACCCCGACTTCCAGTCCTACTACCGTTACTACAGCAGCATCGGACACATGGAGGGGGTGAGCGGACGAGCTTGCAAAAAGATGGTGTTGAGTTTTTTTGGCGAAGAGATCTATACAGAACCATTTACATGCCTAAATGGTTGTTCATGCTGATGGAGAATGTGTTGAATATTTTTTAGAAAATAGTTCTAATAGCATCAAAACGGGTGTTTCTATTGTTCCGATGTCAAGCATGTAACAACAGAAGAACCTATGAAGAACCATCTTTTTCAAGTGTGCAGTTAAAGCCTTTTACTCCACTTGGACAGGCCTTCAAGACTGCTGTTCTCCTTGACATTCACTTTATCCATTTTTATAGATGACAGTGTGTTAAACAGTGTCAGAAACCACACAATCAAGACTATTAGAGATACTGAGAACTCTAATACACCTGATCCAGCCAATCAGGGACTTGGGAAGAGGCTGATTAGCTGTAGCAGGTGTGGCACATTGTAGTTGGAAGTACACACAGCTATATAGGACCATATACAACACATTCTCTATCAATGTGAAGAACCATTTCACCATGCGACAAACCATTTAATCATGCAAAAGGTTCTTTGAGTATTCCTTGTTCTATATAGAACCATTTTCTTTACTATAGAACCCTTGAAGAACCATCTTTTTTAAGAGTATAGGCTCTGCAGGAAGGTAGCTCTCCAGTGCCAGGATTGGAGACCACTGGTCTACACACAATATAGATAATATAAACAATAGACCAAACTTTTTGGGTGAGATAAAATTTTTTGTAGGAAAAAAAGCCCAAGAATTAAATTTTCACCTACACCTACCTTTCGCTTAAACCCTTGTTTTCCTCCAAACAGCTGTACGAGGTTGACAAGATCAGGATGCTTTACCAGCAAATGCGCCACCTAGAGAACACCTACGGCCCGGACGCCTCCAAATACCAGAACGTTCTTGGCGTTCGGCTTCCCAAAAGCACTTCTCCACCTCCAACCACCAAGCCCCCACCACCCCCCACCACTCCTCCTCCAGCTCCTGCCCTGCCGCCTCAATCTCAGGTTGACGTTACCTACCTGTGCAACCCCAAAGACCCCCTCTGCAAGCCTCAAATAGTGTACCTGCCCACCGGGGCGGTCCCTGTTCTCTGTGATCCACGCTACCACCCAACGTGTAAGCTAACTGCGGCTAAAGAGGCCCCTTCTGCCCCCGTCAAGCCAGACGCCCCCGTCCCCCCGCCGGCTAAAAAACCCGTTGCACCTCCACCCCCACCTCCGATAATCGTCAAAGGAATGGAGTATGACTGTGATCCCTACTGGGATCCGGACTGTCTGATTGACAGCCCGCCCCGACCTGTGAAAGTTAGCAAGCCTGCGTTAGCGCTGCCCACAAAAGGCCCGGTCATTCAGAAGGCAGAGAAAGAGCATGAAGATGACGATGACAATCCAGCACCAGAAGACAAGAGCAGCCTCTACTACGACCCCTTCGATTATCGCAGAGATCTTTACGACCCATACCTTTACACTAATCCAGCCGATGACCCTCAGTAGCACTTTAGCATTGCGTTTAGTCGCTCTATCAACAAGTGCATCTATAGATTTTTAAAAGAACACCTGCTGGATATTAGAAAATATTATTGTTGCTTAAATAAAGTGCTCATGCATCTTTTTTGTAAAATTTCCTTGATGCATCCATCAATGGTGAAAACATTAATTAGCATTATTCGCTTATTTTGAGTAAGAATAACTTATGCACTTGAAGTCCCAGGAAACACAGAGTATAATATTAAAAATATTGGTGTGATACTAAATTTGAGTGTTATTTTAGACATACTGCAAAGAGTGAATTAAAAACAAACGATGTAAATATAACAAAATGCTGCTTCAAAACTGCTAGTCAGGCCTCTCCGAGAACTAGGTGTGGCCTAATATTCTAATGAGCATGCTTGATTGACATCCTTCTGTCCAACGCTCGGACGGGGGACGAAACACTGGCTTGACTGGTTGGACAAAGAGACAAACAAATGGATGGACAGACATATGTGCAAGCTTTATGGCTCAATTATGCCTGCTATAGGTCAGCTTTTCGCTTGGTTGTTAGCGTCCTTTCACTCAAACAGAAAGATACTATGGGAAATGCATGGTTCTGTTAAAGCTGTGTGGGCAGAAATAACCATATCAGCCCCGTGAATGGTGAGAATAATACTCACGTAGGTGCTACACAAGATTAGGACCACCCAGAATACATCGAGAGAATTTAGACTAAATACATTGGTAATTTATTCGTCACCGGGGCATTATTCACAGGACACTCTTTATACATGAATATTGTGGCCCATATGAGAAACATTAATCTAATTTGAAAGAAAACATAGATTTAAGTTCCCTGGGATTTTAGGTCATAAGGTACTGTAAATTAGAATATCACTGCTATCATATCAGAAGCTATAACTACTATTTTTTCTGTTTTTCATTTTACATAATTTGAAAACCCAAGATGCCTTTTATGTTGTGTGAACATTTCACGATGCATGGACCAAAATTAACAGTCCAGAATTGGTATGAAATAAAATCTTGTTACATTAATGTGTATTAAAGTTTTGTTATGACACTGTCAAGTATTTAAATCTGTTTTATGTTTACATATTTTATACAGTTGTGGCTGACTGGTGTCCTTTAATCGCAAAAATATGAAATAGCATTATTAGCTTATTTTAAGAAATAATAACCATACATTTAATCCTCTTAAAGAAACCTGCCCACACACACACACTGCAGGGAATAATTTAATAACAGGTTATTTTTCTTATTTACAATAAACTAACAATGCAGTTAATTGCTTTCACCACAAAAGAACATACATACAGTCCTATGCAAATGTTTGGGTACCCCTGATCAAATTACGTGTTGTTGTTGATTTTCTAGGCATTGATGGAAATAAAAGAGCCAAAGTGTGAAGAATTACAGAGGGAATTCCACCCATTTTTCATTTATTTTCAAAATTCCAAAATAATTCAGTGTTTAAGATTTGAACAAAGTTCATTCAGAGTGGTTTGGTGTGAAACGCTCTTACTGAGTCAGAACTGTTCACAGTGGTGGTGATAGGAATCAGACGTCCACCTCTAAAAGCTCCCTCACAGAAAGTTACTACATGAAATGGTTATGAATTCACTGCCTGATGACTGAGACTCTGTTTTATGATAGTTTTGAGAAGAGTTTGGCCTTAAAATCCATTCATGGTGGAGGGATACACAATACGCAGGGCACTGTGAGGCAAAATAGTCCCCAAAGAAAACTTATTATTTCAGATTTTCCACTATTTTCCATCATCAACATTCCATATAAACTCAGAAGACTCGTGTAGGTTCACTGGTGGTTCTGGATAGTAAATAAAATGTCTATATCTGTGTTGTAGTCATAGCGACCCCTGGTTCCCATCACCACCACTGTAAAGACATCTGAACCATTTCACACCAAACCACTCTGAATCTCTCTGATTACACCTCACACACTGAGTTATGGGGAAAATTTTAAAAATGGGTGGAATTCCCCTTTAAACCCCAGCAATGTTTCAGTCTTAAAACAAGGTGGTTCTTCAAGGGTTCTTTAGTAAAGGGAATGGTTCTATTCAGAACCACAAGTTCTATAAAGAAATGGCCCTTGGCATGGTGAAATGCTCTTCAGACTGATGGAGAATGTGTTATGCATGGTTCTAGATAGCACCAGAAAGAGTTCTGCTATTGTGTCAAGCTTGTATCAGTAGAAGAACTCTTTTTGGTGCTGTATAGAACCATATGCAACACATTCTCCAATCTGAAGAACCACTTCACCAGACAAAGACCCATTTAAGCATGAAATTGTTCCAAATAGCTACAACTCGTGGTTCTGAATAGAACCATTCCCTTTACTAACCTTTGAAGAACCATGTTTTTTGCGAAAATCTTTCCAGAGAAACTCGTGTTTCACGTATTTCTCGTCTCTGCAAACTTCCCTGTTTGTCAAGCTGACTCATCGCTGACTGAGCAACTAATAATCAGTAATAAAAGACATAAGATTTAAATCGACATTAAAGCAGCGTCCGTGTATCTGATTTGTGATTTGACGTCATTGATATTCCCTCCTCGCGCCGCTGAAAGTCAAGGTAGCGTGGCCGAGCGGTCTAAGGCGCTGGATTTAGGCTCCAGTCTCTCTGGAGGCGTGGGTTCGAATCCCACCGCTGCCAACTGCTTTTGACCACCAGGAAAGCTCAGACTTATAATAAAAAGCAGCTCTCTACTCTTATTATGAAGCCATGAAACCGGAAACAAATCAGAGCATCTGAATACAATAAATACACCACCTTGTTTCTACACTCACTGTCCACTTTATCAGCTCCACTGACCGTGTAGTTTCACTCTGTAGTTCTACAGTTACAGACTGTAGTCCATCTGTTTCTCTGCATACTTTGTTACCCTGTTCTTCAGTGGTCAGGACCCCCACAGGACCCCACAGAGCAGGTACTATTTGGATGGCGGATCATTCTCAGCACTGCAGTGACGCTTACGTGGTGGTGGTGTGTTAGTGTGTGTTGTGCTGGTCTGAGTGGATCAGACACAGCAGTGCTGCTGGAGTTCTTAAACACCTCAGTGTCGCTACTGGACTGATAACCAGCCAACAGCGTCCTGTGGGCAGCGGCCTGTGACCACTGATGAAGGACTAGAGGATGACCAACACAAACTGTGCAGCAGCAGATGAGCTATCGTCTCTGACTTTACATCTACAGTTTCTCATCTAATCACTAATATTGCCAACTATGCAGCCTGTAGCCTAAACTGAGCAGCTACTGGAGCGAGACTGAAGCTCGCTGATTTAGCCAGCAACGTTACCAGCAGTTCCAACAAAAAATGAAATGCAAACCAGGTTTGCATTTTACAATCTCAATATGTTAGTTGCGCTCAAAAAATCTTAGCTAGCTATATTTTTACTTGCAATGTTATATGTTAGCCTATAGCATGTGAGCTGCATACCTGAACATCTCAAGAAGTCAAAGTTACTCTGGTACTGAGGGCAGCATCGCGTCTTGTACAGAGATAAACAGAGCGAGCAGTTAAGTCTATGGCCCAGCCACAGATGTTCTGAGGTCAGCTAAGAATCAGTCACAGCTCATTGGGTAGTTTTGGTGCATTTTTCCACACTGAATTTACTAAAACCCTTCAGAAACTTCAGAGGACCTTGGTGTCCCAACGCTAGTTACGAACATTATGAACCGCTGATAACGTACTGAAGTAATTGCGGATCGCAGCGATTGCTAATCAGTTATTGCCATAATACAGTGACAGCGCTCAGAGAAAAATAAATATTATTAATAAATATTGTGTGCCCATTTGGGTAGGTCTGTGACACCGTGGCTGCACCCCTGAGTCCCAGTACTTTGAAAAGCAGTGGGTCAAATGCCTGCTCACCACCGTCGTTCCTGCGGCCCTGACTGCGAGCGAGTGGAGCTGTTCTTTGGGAGAAAGCGGCCTGTTGCTTAGGGAGGTCAGTGGAGAATGGCTAGACTTGTTCAAGTTGACAGGTAGGCTACAGTAACTCGAATAGCCACTCTTTACAACAGCGGTGATCAGGAAAGGATCTCTGGTAGAACGAGTTTGCATCTAGAAATGCATACTACACATACTACACATACTACAAATACTACACATACTACACCTACTACATTGCTGAATGCACTATTACTTGGTGGCAGGAGTATCACTAGTTTGGTTTTGAATGAATGTCCTTTATTAGTTAAATCATCAGCATTGCTCATCATTTATTTTTCATCATAAAATGAATAGTTCAGGTCCTAAAATCTGATTGGCTGAGCCGCATTCGAGCCCAGGCTGAATCCCAAACAACTCTGTACTCCCTAAACAGTGTTTTAGCTATGAAAGTTTAGAATTCTTAGTATTCTAGTCTCTACAGCCAAATGGTGCATCGTTTATCCAGTGTGGATGTGTCTGAGTCCCAAATGACCATTTCTTAGCTATATTATGCGCTGTTGTTGGGCAGGAGCCAGTTTTTAAATTCCTACATAGTGCGTTATGTAGGGAGCAGGGCGGCATTTGAGATTCAGCCCCAGTGTGAGAAGAGGGGCGCCACTGGATAATATGGATGGTAATTGGGTGACTGGAATGTACTTATAAAGTGAAAGTCCGTGCATTAAACAGTGCTGTGTTATCATATGTTCATTGTTATACGACAAAAAAATTAAAAAGTTCATGAAATAATCGCAGTGTACAGCGAAGGGTGACCGAACTGTCTTCTCTTCATTCAGCAGTCCATGGTTGCTTGGCAACGATACGGTACACTTACCATGTACTTGTTTATGTCGATTATTATTAATAATAGCTTAAATACCATGCAGAATACCATGACATTCATAAAATATAGCTAGACTGTAGATCTTTAGTGCACGCTCGGTTCTGCACGAAATTTCAAAATTGCTTTCTTCACTGCTGCCAGAGAAGCCATCAGTTAGCTACTGAGGACGCTGATTAGCTGGAGCAGGTGTGGCAGATTACGGTTGGAACTAGATAGTGCAGAAAGGTAGATCTCCAGGACCAGCGTTGGTGATCACTGCTCTAAGGAATGTCTCCATCACCTTGTGGAATCCATGCCATGAAGAATTCGGGCAGTTCTGAGAGCTACCCATGATTAGCATGGTGTTCCTAATAAAGTGGCAGGTGAGTGTGTTTTCATATGTTAGATCTGTGTTTAAAAATTCATAAAGTGTTCAAACGTTCGGTCCCTTAAATCTCATAAAACAGGTGGCAGCTTAACCCCCCCCCCAACCCCACCCCAACCCTGTACATTTTGCATTTTAAGTTCTAACTTTAAACTCATAATTTTTATTCTTATAGAACTGCTACAACTTTTTCCCACTGGCTTTTAATTTAATGAACTGACCTGCTGTTTCATTTCCCACTGAACTGCACATTAGTGCACCTAATTAATTATAACAATACATGTTGAAGGTTGTGCGTCATGTTGTAGTCAGTAGGCCCAAATAAGAGGTCTAAGCTGTCTTTCTCTATGGGAAAATGATCATGTTTGCCGCTAGCGCCCCCTGCAGTAAACAAAAATGCTTCAAAGTCAGTACATTTTATTCTTAAATTTCCTCACCAAATGTCTGTGGATTATTCTGAATGATTCTCTGAATTACACAGGTTGTTCGGTAGTGGAAATACCAATATTGCTGTATCTATCTGATGCACAATTAAATGATGTTGCATGGAAGCAAGGCTACAACTATAACTGTACACCAGGGATGTCCAAAGTCCGGCCCCAGGGCCAAATACAGCCCTTGGACAGATTTTAATTGCCCCATGGCTTCTGTTTTAGAGCGTGTTATAAAAGGCCCACTAGTCAGCACGCTGCAGTTCTTCCTTTCACCTGATGGTGGCAGCAGTACTGTAAAAACACACTGTAATGCACCGCATTGTGATAATGAAGTTAGCTGAAGTTTAAAGGCCTGTCTTCTCTGACTGACCCACAGCTTCATTTACTGACCCACGTTTAGTCCAGACTGCAGCCATAAGGCTCAAACTCAACTCTGAGAACAAGATTTCAGCAAGATGGAGGTTTGAACTCTTTTCATCAAGAGCCGCAGCAAATGAGCTTCATGTTTCAACAGGCTGTGATGAACTTAATATCAACAGACATGAAACACAGCATGACATGAACATTACAGTAAATACTCAGGAGAGAAGCTAAAGCAGCTGCAGCTCCGCGAGTCTCACAGCACCGACTTCTTATCAGAGCAGCTCAGTAAACATGAGCCTATATAGAACCATGAACATTCAAAAAACCCTTTGTGTGATTAAAAGGTTCTTTGCATCGTCAAAGCGTCCTTCAGATTAATGGAGAATGTGTTTTAGGTGGTTCTGAATAGAACCTTTTTGAAAATGGTTCTACATAGCACCACAAAGTGTTCTGCTATTGTGACTACGTCACGCTTGTATACAGTGGAAAACCCCTTTTTGGTGCTTTAAAGGGCCCTTTTCAAAAAGGTTCTAAATAGAACCATCCACAGCACATTCTCTGTCAGTCTGAAGAACCCTTTCATGATGCAAAGAACCCTTTAATCACGCAAAGGGTTCTTTGAGTGTTCATGGTTCTATATATTTTTCAAATACAGAAAAACAGCCATAGAGGTTCAAATTTGGGCTACAGAATGATGACACGTCCTCACAAAAGATGGTTCTTCAGGGGTATTTTAGCAAAGGCAATGGTTCTATACAGAACCATTTCATGCCTCAACAGGTCTTTGCATGGCGAAATGGTTCTTCAGATTGTTCTGTTGTGGTTCTGTTCAGAACCTTTCTGAAAATTATTGTATATAGCACCAGAAGGGTTCTTCTGTTGTTACAAGCTTGACATCGTTACGGTAGCATCACCCTTTTTGGTGCTGTATAGAACCATATACAACACATTCTCCTTCAATCTGAAGAAATATTTCACCAAGCAAACAACGTTTTAAGCATGAAATGGTTCTATTTAGAACTCCTATGTGATATATATGACCCTATATGGAACCTTTATGAAAATGATTGTATATGGCACCAGACACCTTTTTGGCGCTATACAGAACCATATACATTATAGTCTCCATCAGTCTGAATAACCATTTCACCATGTGAGGAAACATTTAAGCATGAAATGGTTCTATATAGAACTCATGATTCTAAAAAGAACCAGTGTCTTTACTAAAAAACCATCTCTTGAAGTGTGTAGAACAGCTTGCTGAGTCCCACAGTTCGTGAGCATCTGTCCCAACATAATGGTTTAAATGTGTGCTGCAAGCACTGAACCCCAAAGGCAAAAGGCACCGCTGGGATTCGAACCCAGGATCTCCTGTTTACTAGACAGGCGCTTTAACCAACTAAGCCACGGCGCCCTGCGAGCAGCAGAGGAACGGTTGGCTTTTCGAAGCACGTTGTATTTTACCAGCTGCGTATTTTTACAGAAAGATGGAAATATCTGTTCTGATTACATCTCAGATGACGTTATTCCGGGTAACGCTCGAGCTTAAACAAGTCGGTGCCTAAACAATACATGTGATCAATACTGAAAGGCAGAACAGCGTGTATTAAAACAACAGTGTATTTTGTATGTATCGTGCAGCCCAAACAGGAACCTTTCAGCCTCTTTGTCCATTACGCTCCATTTCTCCTTTATTTAAAAGATCGAATCGAGAACAAAATGATCGAAAACGTTCGACGAGGATGGGATTCGAACCCACGCGTGCAGAGCACAATGGATTAGCAGTCCATCGCCTTAACCACTCGGCCACCTCGTCTACATGCCTTACACCGCACACGCCTTTACTGTTAAAACTTCATGTATGCTGTCTTTGATTACTTTGGCTGTTAATAGTATAAACTAATATCTAAAATACGATGTAAATATAAGACGCTCAGTCTGTTCCAGATCAAAACACCAGGGGGCGCACATTCAAATCTAACGCTTGCTGATTTCTCATGTCATTTCTTATGCCATAGTTATCATATTTAATTTGTAAGTTATTTATGAATGTGGTATTTGTTAATTAAATAAACACGATATTCATTTATTAATCTATTTCTAATTTATTCTTCTTTATTATTTATTATTTAATTTATTTAGTATTCATACCAATTACAGCAATCATCGGTTGGGTAAATTCACAGCAGAGAAATAAACTCAAATAAATAAACACACAAAGTGAAACACAAGAAAATAAATAAATGAATTAGAAAGAAAATCGTATCATAATGACATCCAGGTATTGAGGGATTCAGATTGTGTTGTTTGAATATTATCGTATCATTATTGTTCAAATCACGCAAAGAGCTCTTTTAGTGTTCATGGTTCTGTGCAGAACCATTTTCGTTACTGAAGAACGCTTGAAGAAGCTTCTTTACGAATGTAATTGGTTCTATATAGCACCAAAAAGGGTTTGTATACAAGCTTGGTGCTGGGTAGAACCATACATACAACAAACTGTTCTGACTTTTTTGACTGATTGTAAATTATATGTATATTTATATATTTATATATAAGTGTATGTCAAGATAAGGACCTCCAATTTTTAGTTTTCTGCATAAATTTGATGTTGTTTGGACCAATATAGTTTGGACCAATATACATACACACACACACACACACACACACACACACACACACACACACATATATATATATATATATGTGTGTGTGTGTGTGTGTGTGTGTGTGTGTATGTACATATGTATATATATTCTATTTGAAGTGTGTCATTGCCTGTGCCTGGATGTTTTTCCTCACAACTCGCCCTCTTAACTGATCTAATCCTAAGGAAATGTGTTCCTATAGCATTTTGTGGTGAGTTATACTGCACTGCACGCTTTGGCTTTAAAGGCTGCGCAGCTAAAGTTCTAATTCAAGCTTTAGAACGATAGAAATACGCTATTCTGAAATCCACCAATCAGGACGCTTCGCTGCACTTTATGTTAATTTATGCTAATGTAGAGTGCACCGAGAAACGTGTTTAAACCGTGAAATTTGGCGGATAGAAGCTTCGGAGTTGGATTATTTTGGCTTGTTAACAAACTACGTCGGTTGTATTTTTGAGGCACTTTGTTAAAACAGCATGTTTGATCCTCACCGTGACCGTAAATGCCGGAAAGTTTGCCAAAACCATCCGCGGCGGAGTGATACGGCAACACAGTAAGGTTAATCCTTACCTGTTTGCCTTAGAAATAAGGCGGCAGATCATGATGATTGGATTCAATGAGTGCGTGATTATCTTCCGTGTTCATCAGGGATATTGCAACCCCTGTTTGAATCCTGTCTGATATCTGTTTGTATTGGTTAATAGCAGAATTATGAAGCTTTCTACTTCTATATTATCATAAAGACCGTTGAACTGTAATTACATCGGATGAAATAGTATTTGTGTAAAGTGCTAACTATGGGAACAGAATGCTGAAATACTGTTTTAATGTATTGGTATTTTAATTTTATTTGCCAAAACAATTTATTAATATAAACAAATGAACTATCACAATGATGATTATACAGGAATTCGAAATATGTTATAAAGTCGGAGATGTTTTTGAGGGAAAGATTGCTCTTTTTATTATTTATTTTACATTTTTTTAATCGTCTTTATTTATTTTTCTGGAATTGAAATTGACAAAAAATGTTTTTATGAACGTTTTGCAGGGAAAAAATTACTGACAGTATTCAGGATCAGTGTTAGAATTTGTGTAGAAACAAAAGACATCTTTTATAGCAAAACTGTAAATCTTACTTTACAGGAGAAAAGGAAAAAAACTTAAGTGAGACCAGAAAAGATACATTTATATTATATTATATTATATTATATTATATTATTGATATAATAACAATTATTGTATATTATTGATTTAGAACAATAACAACATAACAATAAAAAAATATATGTTGACTAAGTCTATCTATCTATCTATCTATCTATCTATCTATCTATCTATCTATTCGCGTGTCCGGCAGTGATGCGTCGTTTACGTTATTGACCATATAAGGAATGTGTTTCCGGTGATTCCCTGCCGGGGAGCTCAGACTGAGACACTGACTTAGAAACAGCGCTGTTTTATCTAATTACCATTCAAACAAATTACAATATGCTAAAATACACACTTATATTTCAGTATAAATAACAGCCCATAATCTACACCTCACGTGTCAAACACGAGGCTCGTGGGCCGCAAGATCATTCTCATTTTCCATTAACGAGAAGGAAAAAACATACTGTACTTTTAATGTAAGTCAATGGAACCAGAATTTTTTCCAAGTCATTTTGGGTCGTTTCTTTTGGTCCATTCACCCTGAAATTTAAATACAACGTAAAAGACAACAGGCAGTTCCCAATTATGTCAAAAACTGAAAAACAACAAATATATATATATATATTAAGGTCACTTTATGGCGTTCTTTCTTTCTTTTGGGCTTGTTTTCATAGACCTGTTTGCTTGTTTCTCTTGTGAGGTTTGGCAACACTGCACATCGCCAGAGAACTTGAAGTTCTGTCCCAATTCAGGGCTGCATCCTTCGAAGGACTTGGTCTACAAAGCCGTGTCCTTCAAAGGCTGCGTAGACCCACGAAGGCGGAACCGAAGTGAGACGGTCTGCTCTACAGCGGATTTCCTGTTTGCGTCACAGCACCGCTGTTCCCGCCCTCACCTAAGTTCTTTTAAAGTTCTTTAAAGACGGAGACAGAACTTTTGATATTATTTATTATTTTATTTTTTCATATATTAGAGCTGGCATACAGCATAATGGCGTAAGTTCTGCTTCAGACCACGTTGGCTTTTTTTAACATCTGTATCGTTCGCTATTCGACTCAGTTTAATCCCAATACATACATTTAAAGTGTCTCCAAAGTGTATCCACCTGTTAGACCCTTCGTTGCCATGGAAAAGAAGGACACATTTCCTGGCAGCATATGCGACAGCCTAGTCGCACCGCTGTGACGCAGTCGGCCTTCAAATGCAGCCTCCAAAGGATGCAGCCCCTGAATTGGGACACAGCCGTAGAGGAGAATTCCCACTCTGTAACGTCTTCTGTGTTTCTCAAAAGCTAGAGGGCGCTCCCGAGCGAGTCCAAAATGAATGGGTTAAGATGGAGCATTTGAGCAAAATCATAGTTTATAAATTACAAAATTACATTCATTTTCTGAACATAAAACATTTTAACACTGCTGTTATATCTTAAGAGCTTTTAAACTTGAGATATGGGGGTTTAAAACGATGCCTCATGTACGTTCATGACTTCAGTGAGCGCGAAAAGGAAACATACAGGTGAGTTTTCTCTGCTTTTTTAGTGAAAATCATCCTTCTACTTTCTAAAATTAAAGGAGAGTTCTGGGCGAGAGATTAGAAACTATTTTAACTTTTCATTTTTAGCCGTTTAGCCAGAGCCGGTTTATGAGGAGCCTGGCCACTTCCTATTTCCCCCATTATATCAAAAACAGGACTACTAATCAGCAGAGGGTGCCCACGAGCGAGTCCTCAATGAATGGGAGTAAATGGAGCTCAACGGCTAAAAACGAAAAGTTAAAATAGTTTCTAATCACTGAACCAGAACTTTCCTTTAATTTTAGACAGTAGAAGGATGAGTTTCACTAAAAAAGCGAAGAAAACTCACCTGTATGTTTCCTTTTTCTACAGTAAAAGGGTTTTGGGCAGCAGAAGGCGGGCATTAGTGGTAGAGAGTGATAATTGGTTGGTGAGCGGAGCAGCTCATTGGCTGTTCGCACTCACTGACGTCATGAACGTACATGAGGTGCCGTTTTAAACTCCTATAACTTGAGTTGAATGTAGTCTTTTATATTAAAAATGTTTCAGCATTTATTAACTATGATTTTGCTCAAATGCTCCATATCAACCCATTCATTTTGGACTCACTCAGGAGCGCCCTCTAGCGTCTGAGAAACCCAGAAGACATTACAGAGTGGGAATTCTCCTCTACAAGTTCTCTGGAATTTTCACTCTGTAATGTCCGGGTTTCTCTAACGCTAGAGGGCGCTCCCGAATCCTGGAGCATTTGAGCAAAATCATAGTTTATAAATGATTAAACATTTTAATGTAAAGAATTCATTCATTTCCTGAACACAGAACAGCATAAAACATTTTAACACTGCTGTTATATTTTAAGAGCTTTTAAACTCGAGTTATAGGAGTTTAAAACTGCACCTCATGTATATCCATGACGTCATTGAGCTCGAACAGCCAATGAGCTGCTCCGCTCACCAACCAATCATCACTCTCTCGCAGTAATGTTAGCGTCCTGCTGCCCAAAACCCGTTTGCTGTAGAATAAAGGAAACATACAGGTGAGTTTTCTCTGTTTTTTTTAGTGAAATCCATCCTTCTACTGTCTAAAATTAAAGGAAAGTTCTGGTTCAGTGATTAGAAACTATTTTAACTTTTCGTTTTTAGCCGTTGAGCTCCATTTACTCCCGTTCATTGAGGACTCGCTCGCGGGCGCCCTCTGCTGTTTAGTCCTGTGTTTGATATGCCGTAAACGGTAAGAGGCTCTGACTGCACATAACCAAACACGCTGGCTAGCTGTGTTTCAGCTGCAGTTTGACCAGTATAAACACTCAGCTAGCTAAATAAAACACCTAATAATTGAACGCTGGGGATTTCAAGACAGCTGGGAGCTCGAATACTTTTTCACTGTCAATATCTGTCTCGTTGGCAGAGATGGTGCGGCACCATTACGAAACAAAACGGAGCTGGATGGACAGCAGAGGCAACAGAAAAGTGGCAGAAACGAAGAGGGGCGTTCTCTGACCCCCTGATTTGTTAGGTTTTTTTAATATGGCCCTTTTGGCGGTCCAATTTGACGCCTCTGATCGAGGTACACGATCTCCATACACATGTACTTTCAACACCCGGTATCAAGGGTAGCGTGGCCGAGCGGTCTAAGGCGCTGGATTAAGGCTCCAGTCTCTTCGGGGGCGTGGGTTCGAATCCCACCGCTGCCAACACGTTTTGTTCTCCAGAATGACTGAATAACAGTGTGAAACGTTTAACATAATCAAAAGTACTAAAATACGGAGAGCGCTGTAATTTTTTGCTGTTGCCTGTGCTGAATTAAATATTTCCTAAAGGGGGATTCCACCAATTTTTCAAAATCCCTGCATAATTCCGTCTGTGAGATGTAAACAGTCATGCAGAGTGGTTTGGTGTGAAATGGTTCCGATTCCTTTACAGTGGTGGTGATAGGAACCAGGGATCGCCATGACTACAACACAAATGTAGACATTTTATTTACTATCCAGAACCAGCAGTGAACCTACACGAGTCTTCTGAGTTTATATGGAATGTTAGGAATGGTAACATAGTCATAAATCTGGAAAAAAATCTGAGCCCTGACCTCAACCCTATCAAACGCCTTTGGGATGAACTGGAACGGAGATTGTGAGCCAGGCCCTCTCGTCCAACATCAGTGTCTGACCACACAAATGGTCTTCTGGATGAATGGGCAGAAATTCCCACAGAGACTCTCCAACATCTTGTGAAAAGCTCCCTAGAAGAGTGGAAGCTGTTAGAGCTGCAAAGGGGACCAGCTCCATATTAATGCCTATGGATTTAGAATGGGAGTCATAAAAGCTTCTGTAGGTGTGATGTATAGGTGTCCCAATACTTTTGTCCATATAGTGTATATAGAATTCTTTTGAAAAATCGGTGTAGTTTCACTTTAAGTCGTCACTAATAGTCCTGTGAATAAACATATTTGGCATGAATTTGGAAAAAAATCACAAGATAGTAACAACACAGCCATAACTGGACAAGTTTTTGCTTTGTATCTCCTCAATGTACTCATAATAAACCTAATAATTCTGTTCCATCCAAACATTAAAGGGGAACTCCATTGATTTTTCAAAAATTCTTCATAATCAAGTGATAAAGAGAGTGAAAAAGAACAGAGTCATTCAGAGTGGTTTGGTGTGAAACGCTCTGTTCTAGAGAAACTTACTGAGTCAGAATTGTTCACAGTGGTGGTGATAGGAACCAGACGTCCACCTCTAAAAGCTCCCTCACAGAAAGTTCCTACATGAAATGGTTATGAATTCACTGCCTGATGACTGAGACACTGTTTTATGATAGATTTGAGAAGATTTTGGCTTAAATATCCATTCATGGTGGAGGGATACATAATATGTAGGGTGTTGTGAGGCAAAATAGTCCAAAGAAAACTTATTATTTCAGATTTTCCACTATTTCCCATCATCAACATTCCATATAAACTTAGAAGACTCGTGTAGGTTCACTGGTGGTTTTGGATAGTAAATAAAATGTCTATATTTGTGTTGTAGTCATGGTGACCCCTGGTTCCTGTGACCACCATTGTAAAGACATCTGAACCAATTCACACCAAACCACTCTGAATCTCTCTGTTTACATCTCACACACTGAATTATGAAGGAATTTTGAAATATTGGTGGGATTCCCCTTTAATACAACACACGGCCATTTTGTTTGTTTCTGGTACCCCTCGCTGACCGAAACAGAAGATCGCTAATTGAGGACGACAAATCTACGGATATGCTTTTTATTTATCCGTTCTCGTTCGTCCCAGTTTGTCTGAAAGCGCCGAAACGCTTTAAAGCATCGCTGAAACGCGGTTAGCAGGTGCATCTGCTCCTCTCCTCTCCTCTGCCTCCATCTTTTTCTCTCCATCGCCCTTTCCACACAGCGCTGCTGCAGCCGCGTTCTTGTTTTCCCGCCCGTTTTCCGACAGATCCCGCCTCTGATTGGCGGACGGCTCGCCTGTGTGGAAACACGAGCCAATCCCAGCGCAGCACAGCGGGACGCTACGAGCCAATCGTGTCCAGGCTAGTGATGCACGACTCCGAGTTACTCCGACTCAACTCCTGCTGCTGGAATCGACTCCTCGACTCACTTATACTTTAACCAGTACAGCTCCACAGATAAAGGGACGCAGCAGAGATTAAACCACCCTAAACGTAGTTTACCCATTTCAGAACACCTACAGATTATAGTGATATGACGAAAATTCAGCTTAGTTCACAGAATGATGTGCTTTAAAAAAGGAACCACTTTCAGATTCTTTTTTCAATTCTTTGAAAAAGGTTGGATGTTATCCTGCTCCTCTTTTCACAAAGCTGAAGCTCTTCTTGTTTGACTTTTCCGATCCACGGAAACGGCAATTTTGAATAAGAAGCTGGCCTATAAGGAGCAAATCCCAGCTTTATCATCTTTTCCACAAGTTTCTGTTAAAAAATGTGTTTTTGGTTTTGCTTTCGTTGATTATCTATGTATATTCTTCTTCTTATTATTATTATTATTATTTTGCCAGATTTTTGTCCGCTAACACCTAATACAGTTTTAAAGATCCACCTCTGGAATGTTTGGTCTGATCCGGAATGGTGTGCTTGTATACAGCTTTTGATCGGAGGTAAGGTTTTTGTACAATGATAGTCAAATGATGATTTTTTTTCTGCTAGGGATGAATGGGGTGCAAAAGTCCATTAGTAACACCCTATTAACCACATAGAATATCATAGTAACCACCTGGGTTAATAGCAACTGCCTAGCAACCACCTGGGATACCATCTGGCTAAACCAGCACCAGCATAAACCATCTTAGACTAGCATTTCCGTATGGCTAAACCAGCACCAGCATAAACCATCTTAGACCAGCATTTCTGTTGTTTTTTCAGCAGGAAAAGCAACACCCTAGCAACCACTTGGGATACGATAGCAACCACCTAGCAACACCCTAGCAATCATTTGAGATACCATAGCAACCACACAGCAACACCCTAGCAATCATCTGGGTTCCCATAGCAGCACCCCAGCCTCCACCTGGAATACTAAAGCAACAACCTAGCAACACCCTAGCAACCATCTAGGATACCACAGCAACCAAACAGCAACACCCTAGCAATAATCTGGATTACCATAGCAGCACCCTAGCCTCCACCTGGGATACCATAGCAACATCCTAGCAACCATCTAGGATACCACAGCAACCAAACAGCAACACCCTAGCAATAATCTGGGTTACCATAGCAGCACCCTAGCCTCCACCTGGGATACCATAGCAACAACCTAGCAACACCCTAGCAATAATCTGGGATACCATAGCAACCACACAGCAACACCCCTAGCAATAATCTAGGATACCACAGCAACCATACAGCAACACCCTAGCAATAATCTGGGATACCATAGCAACCACACAGCAGCACCCTAGCAATAATCTGGGATACCATGGCAACCACACAGCAACACTCTAGCAATCATCTGGGTTACCATAGCATCACCCTAGCCCCCACCTGGGATACTATAGCAACAACCTAGCAACACCCTAGCAACCACCTAGGATACCAGAGCAACCGCACAGCAACACCTTAGCAATCATCTAGGTTACCATAGCAGCACCCTAGCCTCCACCTGGAATACTAAAGCAACAACCAAGCAACACCCTTACAACCACCTAGGATGCCTTAGCAACCACACAACAACACCCTAGCAATAATCTGTGTTACCATAGCAACACCCTAGCCTCCACCTGGGATACTATAGCAACAATCTAGCAACACCCTAGCAACCACCTAGGATACCACAGCAACCACACAGCAGCACCCTAGCAATAATCTGGGATACCACAGCAACACCCTAGCCTCCACCTGGGACACTATAGCAACAACCTAGCAACCACACAGCAACACCCTAGCAACCTCCTGGGATATCATAACAACCTAGCAACATCTTGGCAAGCATAAGCTGCGCAATCACAGCATTTTCTTCAGGAATTGCACTTGTTTATTGCAGCGCTGAGGTGCGGGATGAATCGAAAATGGTGTTGCGAGCAGAGTTTGTGTTCACAGCGGCTGGTTTGCAGCGCTGGCGTTGTTTAAAGCCGCTAATTAAACAAACTCACACTCTCTCCTGCTTCACACACGCCTCCGTCAAACTGACCCTGGAGCCAGGTTTAAAAAAACCCAGAGTCGAAGAGTCGACTCAGAGCATTCGACTCTTTGAGTCATTATCCAAGAACCGAGCCCGACTCGCAGCCGCGTTGGAGTTGAAGAATCGACTCTTCCGGAGTCGACTCCTCATCGCTAGGCCGAGGGTAGGCGGGGCGAGTCGGAGTACGGGTGTGGAAAAAAAACCCCGTCACCCGTATGACGAGTGACGTCAACGAGCCATCTTTGTTCCCCCTTAATCCAAAGCATCTTATTTTTTGTGTACACAGTGGCAGAGAGGCGAGTCAGCTGAAGCTCCGTGCGGCTCATAGACGGGATATCAGGCGAGAGGAGCGCGCGGACGAGAGGCAAAAGACGAAGAGCGGTTCTGAGAGGATCAACAGCAAACAAACAAACAAATAAATAAATAAACAATCACCTCTGAAATCGAGAAGAAGGGAGAAAAAAAAAACGCCCGAGGCAGCCCACCCAACCTTCCAGAAACCACCTTTCTCCAGGACCTGTATATAGCTGCACACAAACCTCAGTGAGAAATGTGAGTATTGCGTTTTTATCTATTTATTTATATATTTGATGTGGTTATAGAATGGATGGAGGACATTCTAGAACGTGCTCAGCAGCTGATCATGTAAAAAAATAGCTTTCTTTAAAGAAAATCTGCTTTTTTTTAAAAAAGGATTTTAGTACCTGTATCCCTTATCTGCTCATTTTGAAAGCACAGAGCATTTTTTCTTCTAATAATAGCTAATAATGTCCATAAATAGGCTGATAATAGGCAGCTCTGTTTATGCTCAGCACAAATAGTCTTAAATATAACCAGCTATTTACACCAAATGACGTCTAAAATGTAGTATATTTTAGATCCAGGTCTGTCTGCTGCTGTTTGAAAGCATCAGTGACTGGAAACACGCCTATATCCACCGGATTGGACTGGTTTGGGAGGATGAGAATGGTTCAAATACATGAGAAAATTATTATTGTATTATAACCGTCTTTATAAACCGTGTGTACATGTGAATAAGCATCCATTTAAAGACACAAGGTGATTTCAGGAGCCTCAGGCCCCTTTTATTCCCTCACAGACAGGCCCATCGTTGGGATATTGTCCTAAAATGGCATTAAACTGTCCTTATTTTTACAAATAAAGTTATATATTTAGATATAAAAGCGGCTGTTGGGTTCATTTTATTCACCCAGGCTGTTTTCCTCAAAGCGTGATCCACATGGTGGGGGTTGGGGAGCATTGCCTGTCGTTTGCGAAGCAAAAGAGGACCGTCACGTCCATTGTTTGTGCCATCCTTTCCCAAATTGGCTCGTTCTGTTCCACATTTGCCCAAATCAGAGGCTCTTGCGTGGTTTATGTGGCTGGGTTGTGACCAAATGGCTGGCGCAATAAGGATCATGCATGCTCCTCTGCAAGAGAAGATGGCCGTGCTGCTCTTTCCATCCCTGTCCACACGCCTTATTTAACCTGGATTAAATAACTGAAGTGGAAATGCAAGACTAAACCACCTATTTGAGCTAATCTGAACGGGCCAGTTTGCTACACAGACCTTGCATATGTGTGCATCAGTGAAAACAATGTGCTTATAGAACAGGTGCGCTGTTTATTTCATTATTTAGGTTATTATATGTGGTCAGAGATGTGGAGTTTGCACGCTGCTGCTTGTAAACCTCGTTCATTTTGACCCTTTTGTCATAGAAAACGGTCTCAGAGTGTGTGTGTTGCGTGTGACGCACATAAATGCAGGCCTATTGAGGGTGGGGGTGTTGGCCCTGTCTTCGTCTCTGACCCTATGCTGGTCACATCCATATATAAAAGTCCCAGCATTGTTAAATCTGTTAAATATGAAGCGATTCTGAATGTTGGTGCTGTTCGGACCTGCTGTCTGTGTTTATACAGGCCTACAGTGTGTGAATGGCGCATTTTTGGAACCGTAATAGGCATCATAGGATTATATGATGGACCCAGAAGCTAGCAAAGCTACTCCAAGCAAGTACTTATTGTGGATTATGAGAAATTATTCACGCCAAGAGCCTCGCCTGTCTCCTCCAGACTGGCCAGCTGACTGTCAGCGTTCAAGTTCAGCAGGCATTTAAACAAAATGGACGTTATTTAACTTTGCCACACATTTCCATTCACTCAAGTGTGGTAGGGTCAGCTTATATGACCCTTAGCATGGTATGCACTTTAATTTTTCATATAAATTAATATATTTTCAACGTGTAAGTTCATTTTTCCGAGTATGAGACATATATTTTGCGACTGGCAGCCTCTTTTTCAACCTTTCTTCTCTCTGTCCAGCACTGTTGAAACAAAAAAGCCCTAATCGTAGGCCACGCTGGCCCATAGCATGGAGTGCATTCTTGATTTTCATATAAATTAATATATTTTCAACTTGTAGGGTTATTTTTTTGACTATGAGACGTGCGTTTTGTGGCTGGCAGCCTCTTTTTCAACGTTTCATCTTTCTATCCAGCACTATAGAAACAAAAAAGCCCTAATCATGGGCCGTACTGGCCCTTAGCATGGAGTGCATTCTCGATTTTCATTTAAATTAATATATTTTCAGCTTGTACGTTCATTTTTTCGAGTATGAGATGTGCATTTAATAGCTGGCAGCCCCTTTTAACCTTTCATCTCTCTGTCCAGCACTGTTGAAACAAAAAAGCCCTAATAGTGGGCCGCGCTGGCCGAGGCCTGTGGAGAGGCTGCTTTGAATTCGTTCTTTGAAACACCGTCCCACCTTTCCAGCGTCACAGAACGAGCCTTTGTGGCCTGATAATTGTGTTGGTGTAATGGTGGCGCTGAGCTGATGTACACAAGCCTTTTCGTTCGAAACAGCACCTCAGCCGCAAGGCTAAAGCTAGTGGACCGATAGCCGCACTGTTGGCGATTCCTCTGCTCAGTGAAGGTGACAGTGGGCAGGATTTGATGTCTAAATATAGGCCCTCGAGAAGGAGAGGCTGAAACAGAAGCCGAGACTCAAGTAAATGTGCTACGCTGACACAAATAAGACCTTAATTAGCTTTTAATGTGCTCATATGTTCTCATATGTCACCTATTCTGTTCATTTGGGCACAATTAGTGTATTAAAGCGATGGTGTTTGTCCAGTTAGAGGGATTAGAAGCAGAGGTGACCTTTATACAGAGTTTTGTCTCCTCCTGGTGGCCAAATAGGGGAATTACAACCACAGTTTATTCACTGGATTTGTCCATATATTGGCTATTAAAGACTAAAATTGTACTTATGCACAATAAGGAATGAATATTCTATACATTTTTTGTATATTATAATTGTGATATGCCTCTCAGTATAACAAAACACTTTGATTTAACAGCGTGAACCATCAAAACATGCACAGAAATTGATCTGGAACATAGGTGCTCATAATGGACAATGGATTGTATTATTAAAACACTTTTCTTTTTGATTTATTAAGGTCTCATTTGCATATTGTGTCAAAAAAAGCTAACATAATATGTTGTGATGCAGTTATACATTATATATGGTGAGATTTTAGACCAATATTGTGGCTGGCTGGTCTATAATGCTTCAAATGTGTGGATATTGATTTAACTCCTTGCTCTCCAGGCTCGTTATTCAGCTGTTAGGCTTTAACACAGTAATTACTACAGCGTGTCCAGTAACTACTATACAGCTGGTATGAAACGTGTGCAGTTCTAAGAGCCTAAAGCCGCCCACGGTTCGTTGGAGTAAAATGGGGTAATGATTTATGCATTAGCACGGGGGGGGGTTCTGGTTCTCTTCTCACGAAGCTGATAACCAGAAACATTTCATACCGATGTTATGAAGGCTTACGAGGCCTCACTGACCCGTATGAGTCCTGACGCTCCTGCCTGGCCAGATCTGCTAATGTGTAATCTACCCTCTTTAGCCAAAATAAAACTCTGTTACAAGTGGATTAGTACAGTTTTAGCATTTTCATGCCATTGATGATGCTGACAGTCATCGGATGGCAGATTTTAAGCTTACAGGTTTCACTTCACTTTAAAAAAACGACAAAACTGTATCGCACAGCTGAAAACAGTAGGAGGGTTATTCTCAAAGTAACATTAAAATGACTAAAACTGACTGTTTACTTTATATATACAAACAATCATGGCTGAAGAATAAACCTGAATGACTGAGTTTAAAATGATTTTCAGTGACATTTTCTTTAACATTTAAGTGACCAAATTATCATCACCGCAACAGAGTACGATTTGAAGTCTGTAAATAATGTTTTTAGGACCTTTGTTTTCTTAATCTGTATACTGGTCTTGGAATAAGTATTTTAAAGCTGATTATTTATATATATCTTTTTGCAATTTTGTCTCATTACCGCAACACGTTGACAGTTGTTGAGTTTTTCTTTTTTTTGTGCCACGAAACATTTTGCTGTGTTTGGTTTGCATCGTTAAAACACTAAAGAGATTCAGCAGTTAAAAGTAGAACAAACTCTTTTTGTTTAATTAAAAAAAGTGAAAAAATGATAAAAATCGGTAATGAGAAACACATGTGGACACGTTACGGTAATGAGGAGTAAAAAAAATGCCCCCAAAAAATTTTTTTTTCTGTACCATACGCCATGATTATATGAACCACATAGCGAGTTTATGTAAGTATAATTATGTTATAAATGATAAATGGTAATAGTTATGGTATAAATGGTATATGGATCATTCTATGGAAACAGTCACTTAACCAAATGTTTCGGTAATGACAATTTTAGCCCATTTGGAGCAGAACCGAAAAACACAGCCAGTTCATGACTAACAAACACAGCTTTGACGTACATAAAATCACAAAATTTTTACTGAAAAACAAAAAATGTGTTTAACTGCAGAAAATCTGTTTCGGTAGTGACGATTCTTAATGTTCCACATTGATTTTCAGACTTTGGGACACATTTACTTTGAAACAATGGGATCTAACTGCTCACCATGTGGCCATGAGGGACAGGGATGCAGCCTCACTTCCTGCTCTAAAATGCAGGGGCGGCGCTGAAATAAGGCTCTGCCCACAGACCAAAATTCTTTGTTGTTTCGTAGTGACATGAAAATGTGGGCAGCGTTTTTAATGTAAAAATTAAACTCATGATGAATCTAAATCTTTCAGCTTCGCTTTGAAAGAAATAAAAAAAGATCTTTAAACACACAAAAAAGCAAAATGTGAGTTTTATTTTCAATTTTAGGGGTTGGAGTTTGGGACAGACTCCGCTCAATAGAAAGAACCCTATATATGATGATTTTGTATATTTTTAACTACTAATATAGTTTAATAACTATATTAATGCAGCATAAAGGCTGCTGTCAGAAGAAAACCTCGTACCTCCAAAATGGTAACTTTACAGGAGAAGGAAAAACATACTTTACTTTTAATGTAAATTAATGGAATGTACACAATGTAAAGGGTAACGGGTATTTTCAAATTATGTCAAAAACTGAAAAACGTCAAAAATGGAGATACGAGGTTTTCTTCTGAAAACAGTGATATATTGATATATATTGATTAATTAATAAATAGATCATACTTCAATGTTTTTTAAAGTGTTTTGTAATTGTGGGAGCTCACTTTGTACTCATACAGTAGAATGGTCCATATAAGGCGTATGAATATAAATTATACACTAATATTTTTATGTGTGCTGCTTATGACACTCAAATATTCATGGACATGTTTTGAGGCGGTTTTGTGAGACGTAGCGTCTTAAAGCCTGAATTGTGTCCATACTTTAGTCCATGTTTATAGACAACAGGGAGTCATACACTAAACTAAAGCAGCGCCGAGCAGCTTAGCTGATCAACTACATTTTGGGTGAGATGAACAGCTATAAATGTGATTTTTTTGACTGAACTGTCGCTTTAATCCTTCAGAAAGACTCTGAACCTCCAGAGCTGCATCAGTGCGTCTCTGCGTTTCTCCATTACAGTCATTAAACAGTTTTTTTTACTGTGGATACGTTTGCAGGGGTAGTTTTTAGGGCACCTTGAGACACTAAAGATGTGAAATGTGTGTTTGATTTTTGATTGACAGGTCTGCCCCAGGCCCCGCCGGCGCACCCGCCCCAGAGGGAGGGAACCAGGCCCCCCCAAACCTGACCAGCAACCGCCGCTTACAGCAGACGCAGGCTCAGGTGGACGAGGTGAGTGACCCCACCCCCCACCTTCCTCCTTACAGACCACTGCTCGAACACGATCCTACACCTTAATATAAAAGATTATTTTTAAATAAACTTATATTTATTACATTTATGTAGCACATTTCAGCTTAAAGGGGCCTGAAACTAGCATTTAAAGGGCCGGTATTATAGAAAAAACAGTTTTGAATCCACTGTTTTTGTGATGTCACATCTCCACACATTCTTCCTACAGCAGTTTAGCTCCGCCCACTCACACTGAGGAGTGGATGGACGGCTTTTTGAGCAAGGCACAATACAGGGCAGCCAATCGGAAGAGAGCTTATTTACATAGATCAGTCTTAAAGGCACAGCAACAAAAACAGCCGGCTTAATTCTGAAGGGATAAAGAGGATACAGGCCCTTTAAAATGTTACTAAAATGCTGTAAAAGCCGTCTGAGTTCATGATTTTATATGATTTTCATTCTCCTTCATCAACGTTTTCTCACGACAGTACCCAGAAATACATCTGAGTATCTCTGTGGTGTCACCCAATCATGACTGCTAGCCCGGCTGACCGCTAGCCTAGCCACCGAGCTGTAGGCTATTTAATACAGCATTAGCATTTCAAACATAAGCCTGTCCATAAAATCCACCCTAAAGCAACTGTAGTTTTCCTTCTACCTTCAAGATATGTCATCAGAAGGTGCTTTTCCTGGTCTTTAAACCTGGAAATCTTGCTCTATAGACGACTGCAGCGTCGCTGAAGGAGGCGATTGGGCACTTAAATGCACTTTAAAGTGTTTTACAAAGAAACAAGCATAAAACTAAAAGAGAAGTAAAAATACTGAGCAAGAAAGACAGTTAGAATGGAGTCAAAATGCAAAAAAAATGACAAGTGAAGCAAGGATTATTAGTACAAATCAATGAATAAATAAACGAACTGCTAACAAAATAATGTCACATGATAATACAAATATAAAAAAAGTAAACATACCAACTGAGGATGCTTGACGTGTCTTGCGAGAGGGAGTTAGGAGATAATAAACAGGCATGTAAGCCCACGTCATAGGTATATAAAGTGTTAAATAAAATAAATATACATTTTAAATATAGATAAAAATACAAATTACCAGCAAATCTAGCATAATTAGCTTAATATTTGTCTACCTTCTGTTTTTGTGGAGGGAGATTTCAGATCAGACAGACCCGTGTCATGACGCTCCAGACGTTTCCAGTGTTTTATAATAGACGCTAATCTCTGTTTGTCCGTCTTCAGGTGGTGGACATCATGCGTGTGAACGTAGATAAGGTCCTGGAGCGAGATCAGAAGCTTTCAGAGCTGGACGACCGGGCCGACGCGCTGCAGGCCGGAGCCTCACAGTTCGAGACCAGCGCCGCCAAGCTGAAGAATAAGTACTGGTGGAAGAACGCCAAGGTACCAACACAGAGCGACTGAAGCAGCGCTGCAGAGAATCACAGCACAGCACAGTTTATCACAGCACATACGGGCTCAGTCCAGCCTCGGGTTACTGTCTGATCCAAACTGAGCGCCAGTTTAACTCCTCTTTAATACCACCAGCTTTAAAGATGCAGTATGACTAGATGATCAGTGAGGAGACTGAATGTGTGAATATAGTTCTTCAGTCATGCTTAATGCTGTGCTGTTCGTGCTATTTGTGAATCTAGGCTGTAAAAATATTATGTGGTAATAGGAATTATTCAGTAATTATTCAGTAATTACTATAAATAATTCAGTATCTACTGCATATTATTCAGTGTCCATTATAAATTATTCAGTATCTTTTATAAATAATTCAGTATCTACTACATATTATTCAGTATGCACTATGAATTATATCTTATCTACAATGAATTATACAGTGTCTAGTATGAATTATTAAGTATCTACTATGAATTTTTCAGTATCTACTATGAATTATTCAGTATCTACTATGAATTATTCAGTATCTACTATGAATTTTTCAGTATCTACTATGAATTATTCAGTATCTACTATGAATTATTCAGTATCTACTATGAATTATTCAGTATCTACTACGTATTATTCAGTAATTACTATGAATTATTCAGTATCTACAATGAATTATTCAGTATCTGCTATGAATTATTCAGTATCTACTATGAATTATTCAGTATCTACTATGAATTATTCAGTATCTACTATGAATTTTTCAGTGTCTACTACGAAGTATTTAGTATCATGAATTATTCAGTATCTACTATGAATTATTCAGTATCTACTATGAATTTTTCAGTATCTACAATGAATTATTCAGTATCTACTATGAATTATTCAGTATCTACTATGAATTTTTCAGTATCTACTATGAATTTTTCAGTAACTACTATGAATTATTCAGTATCTACAATGAATTATTCAGTATCTACTATGAATTATTCAGTACCTACTATGAATTATTCAGTATCTACTACGTATTATTTAGTGTCTACTACGAAGTATTTAGTATCATGAATTATTCACTATCTACTATGAATTATTCAGTACCTAGTATGAATTATTCAGTATCTACTTTAGATTATTCAGTATCTACTATGAATTATTCAGTACCTAGTATGAATTATTCAGTATCTACAATGAATTATTCAGTATCTGCTATGAATTATTCAGTATCTGCTATGAATTATTCAGTATCTAGTATGAATTGTTCAGTATCTAGTATGAATTGAATGTGTTCTGTAATTATGAGAGTGAGGCACTGCAGTGTGGATCTTTGAGTTTGAAAGGTTAATCAAGGCATTTATTTAATCTGAATAAAGTCATTTGATTGTTACCACACACAGTAAATTTCTCGGCTGAGTTAGGAAACGTATCTCACAGTGCGTCTGTCTCTCCTCTCTCTGTAGATGATGATCATCCTGGGGGTGATATGTGTGATTGTGCTCATCGTCATCATCGGTAAGACAGCAGAGCACTTCACTGTGACACATGCCAGCTAGTGAGGGTGTAACGATGCGCATGTTTACAGCCTCGATGCGATTTTTAATTCAGAGGTCAAGATTCAGTTAGATTTTTGATTTTTGTTGCGTATTAATGTGAGTTATTTCTTCAGGGCTCTAATTCCGCTTCACACAGGTTCCTTTGGCTCACACAAGTAAAAGTTTTCCAATAGACTCCAATAGATTTAATTTCCTCTAACAATAAGAACCTCCAAAAATCATAACCTCCAGAATTTAAAAGCTATTCAGATAATAAATGTCCGGTCATTTGAGTGTGGGTGTGTCTTGAGCATAAGCCATGCCCCTCCCCACCCACTTTACTCTGATAGGCTGTACCCAGATGCCTAGTTTTGATCATTGACGGTGATTTCCAGGATAGACAGTAATTGGGAGACGCTCAGAAGAACGTTTCCTGGTTTCCATCCATTTTTTAAATTAAATTCAAGTAAATAACTCCAAAAAAAATGAATTATGTGATAAAAGGCTGCGTTTCTGAGTTGCAGAGAAATCATTGCTGCTTTGTTTACTTTTATGGCTGTATCAGCACAGAAGTTTATGTACTAATTCAAATTAGATTAAGCAATTTTATTCAATACAAGTCTTTTTTATCTGACATCAAAAAATGTGAACAGAAACCTGGCTGCTCATTAAACCCACCTCCTTGTTTCTGCACTCACTGTCCATTTTATCAGCTCCACTGACCATATAGTTTCACTCTATAGTTCTACAGTTACAGACTGTAGTCCATCTGTTTCTCTGATACTTTGTTAGCCTCCTTTTACCCTGTTCTTCAGTGGTCAGGACCCCCATGGACCCTCACAGAGCAGGTACTATTTGGATGGTTGGTCATTCTCAGCACTGCAGTAACACTGACGTGGTGGTGGTGTGTTAGTGTGTGTTGCGCTGGTCTGAGTGGATCAGACACAGCAGTGCTGCTGGAGTTTTAAACACCTCAGTGTCACTGCTGGACTGAGAATAGTCCACCAACCAAAAATATCCAGCCAACAGCATCCTGTGGGCAGCGTCCTGTGACCACTGATGAAGGACTAGAGGATGACCAACACTAACTGTGCAGCAGCAGATGAGCTATCGTCTCTGACTTTACATCTACAAGGTGGACCGACAAGGTAGGAGTGTCTAATAGAGTGGACAGTGAGTGGACACAGTGTTTAACAACTCCAGCAGCACTGCTGTGTCTGATCCACTCAGACCAGCACAACACACACTAACACACCACCACCACATCAGTGTTACTGCAGTGCTGAGAATGATCCACCACCCAAACAGTACCTGCTCTGTGGGGGTGCTATGGGGGTCCTGACCACTGAAGAACAGGGTAACAAAGTATGCAGAGAAACAGATGGACTACAGTCTGTAACTGTAGAACTACAGAGTGAAACTATATGGTCAGTGGAGCTGATAAAGTGGACACTGAAGTGGATGGTCAGTGTATATTTAGACAAACCTATTTCTAAAAGTAAACAGAAAAGCTTCGGTTGTGGTTTAACGTCTGTTTTGTCTTGTTTTCTCTTCCAGTCTACTTCAGCACCTAAAGGCCGGCGCTCCTACCCCAGTCTGCGCTCATGACCACCCGATTTACAACAGCTGAATTATCTACCCCTGCAAAGAGTGTAAATCTGTCCCCTCGATGAACCCTGTAACACCCCCCCCCCAATAAACCCCACCCCCCTCACAGCAGGACCCCAGTCTCTCCGTCCATCCCCACGTCCATCCGTCCGTCCGTCGGTCCGTCCATCCTGTGAGTCTGTGGTCGTGTCTCCTCTGTAAATACGTCCCCGCTTTTTCTGAAACGTCCTTCACAAACTCTAAAATATCGACGAGAGGGCGACCCTGGCGACCCCGGCGACCCCGGCGACTATTGGGTATATTTATGATCTACCGTATATACACGAATCGTCCTTTGTAGACTTTTATTCTGATATTATAACAGTTTTTTGTAGTTTGTGTGCGTGTGAATGTGTGCATTTGTACGTTATTTTGTTTTTTTTATTAATTAATTTACTTATTTTTGTACGACTCCTCTTGCTTCGGCTTCGACAAACTGCCTACAGATCTCTGTGTATATATTGCACGTTCTTCCTCTCATCCATCCTCAATCCTTCTCTTCTTCTTCTTCCTCTGCTTACTGTTGAGTTTTAGTGGGTTTTTGCACAACCGAGATACAAAATCAGAACCTTTTTCCGCGTCACACGACCGTCAGATCCATCCAGCATGTCACTCTCCCTCCTTCTTTTCTTCTCTTTTTCTTTTTCTTACCAACAATAGACTCGTAGCCTTTTTGTAAACTGCCACAAAATGATTTGGACCAATGTCTGTAGATGTCTTTTATTCTTTTTAACGTCTATTTAGTGTCTTATCTCTTAAACATTCCTTTATAGCAGTGTAGGACTATGCTGTCTATAAACTGCATGCAGACATACAGGGCGTGGGTTTGCCAATACAGTGGGAATCTATTGAAAAAGTCGATTGATCAGGCCTAGCAGAGCGAAAGCGCACACTGTGCATTGCAGTTGGGCTTTGTAAACGTACCAGTGGCCACTTAATACCACTAAACACAAATTAGGGCCCGAAAATGGCCCGAAATCAACCAGTTTCGATACCAGAGATGCTCCACAAGCATTATTTGGAGCGGAAATTACCAGAAAGGGGAAACGATCATGCACAAGAACCTCGTTTTTGATGGCGCTTTTAAACTTGAGCGAGGCAGAACCGCAAAAACGTGCAACTTTCTCACTAAACGCGACTCAAATCCACGAAAACGAACTCGTTTAAAAGTACAAGCAGGCCAAAACGTCGCCAGCAGAATTAGTTTTATCCTTCAAAGCACACGTTCCGCCGTGAGTCGGTTGCTAGCGCTGTGTTTCTGTCTTATTATTACTTTTTGTCTTATTAAATAGAGATTATGCCTTTTTTTAGTTTGGTTTTTTAACGTAGAAGTAGATTATATTTGTATTCAGAGTATATTTTGTGTGAGTGAAGCAGGCAGAAAAGGGACCAGATCATTCAGGACTTTATTTGCTGCAGTGTGTGAGTGTGTGTGTTTGTGTGTGTGTGTGTGTGTGTGTGTGTGTGTGCGTGTGCGTGTGCGTGCGCGCCTGTTTGTTGGTTTTAGCTCTGTAGTTTATACACTGCCAGGCACCTGGGGGGACGTTTTCTGTTTCTCTTTTTTTTTTCTTTTCTTTTTTTCTATCTCTTTATTTTCGCAGTGCCCTTACCGGTTTGCTCTTATGCATACAAACCCCCCCTCCCCGCTCCCCCCTCCCCCTCTGCTCCCAGCACACTCAGAATTACCCATCATCCCCCAGTGCTCCAGTCACACAGGACACAATCTGTCAGCATGAAATGAGCCAGTGATGATGTGTGCAGCTACACGTGATCACGCATGTAAGCTGGATGTCTCTCGCTCTCCCTCTCTCTTCCTCTCCTGCTCTCTTTTTCTCCCCCCCCTCTCTCTCACTCGCTCTTTTTCTTTTTCTCCTCTCTCTCTTGCTTTCTTTTCTCTCTCCCTCTCTTTTTCTTCTTCTCTTCTCTCTTTCACTCTTTTTCTTTTTGTCCCATCTCCCTTTTTTCTGCTCTCTCTCTCTCTCTCTTTTTCTCCTCTCTTTCTCTTTCTCTCTATATTTCTTGCTTCTTTTCTCCTCCCTCACCCTCTCTATTTCTCTTCTCTCTCTCTTTCTTATTTTTTCTTCTCTCTCTCTCTTTCTTTTACTCTTTTCTTTCTTTTACTCTCTCTCTCTCTCTCTCTCCCCCTTCTCCTGTACATTAGCCCAGCTTCATCCGACCAGATTAGGCGGCTTAGACTGCTTGCTTACAGCGGCAGCTGATTGGTTTTGACAGTGGGCGGAGCTAGATAGCACTAGCGGGCGGAGCTAGCAGCTCTGTGGGCGTCTTCAGCACCTAAAATGACCTGTTTCTGTGCTCCACTATGGCCATAAATCTGAAACAGGTTAGTTCTCAGGTATTCCACAGCAAAACGAGGAAGGAGTGGAGCCCTGTCATCATTACAGTCACTCTACTTCCACCCAAAACTCGCTTCATTTATTTCTGTCTTATAAAAGTAAATGGCCTTAGATCATTCTTTTTCCCCCATCCAAGCATGACTGACCCCTCTTTATTTCTCACCCACCCAAAGAGAGCAAAACTAATTTAGGAAAATGACCAAAGACCGTATTGTCTTGCTTATGCTGCCAACTGCCATCAAAAACAGGTTTAGGGAAGTTTTCCCCTCTTCTCTGGTTTAAAAACGATGCTCAAAAACCCCGAACGTGCTGGCGTTTTCAGGTCTAGACCTGTTTTTACTTGAATCAGGAAGCAGGCGATTTTTGAAAACTGTAACGTGGGTCTAATTAGAGCCGAAGACTGACGCAGATTTATGGCCGGGCCTAAACTACAACGATAGCACAACTTCTTTATTTATTTCTGTCTTATTTCTGTGATGCTGAGTATGAAACATGGAAATAAACATTTATCTGTAGCTGTTATAATATATATAAATATAATATATAAAAAAAAACAACAAAAAACAAAATCTGTATCGTTCGGTGTTGTACTGTGGGGAATATCTGGGGGACGGGGGTCCAATTTTTTTTCAGGTACGCCCCAAAAAATAGTCCAAAATTGACACATTTTCGAAAGAATTTTAAAATTTGGGTGATTGGTATATCAGATGGTCGTAAATTAAAGGGGTGGAAGTGATCAGAACACACTTATTGGGGTAGGACTCGTAAGACACGATGGACAGAAGGCTTGTCCGAGGAATCGTGCGGCGAGGATCCTTAAAGAGGACTAATAAAACTTGATGTGTGTGTTTTCTGTTTTTTTATTATTATTATTATTTTTCTGTTGTTTTATGTGAGTGTATGAAGCCATTTCTTCGTCTTGGTATTTATTTTTATTTGTTGTTTGGACGGAGGGGGGAACAGGCACGGGTAATTTGTCCGCTCTGTTGAAGTTAGCGCGTCCTCTTCACTGGAGGGACCTAAAGGGGGCGCCGTAACTTCAGCACAGCGGCTGCGAATCCACAACGATTTGTCCATCGCGCACGCCGTCCGTTTACGTTGACCTGTTTACCTTTTGTTGTTTTTTTTTCCAAGCAGAAATTAGTCAGGGCACAGCCTGCTTCTGCGTTCTTTCGTTAAAAAAGGACTTTTATTTTGTAATTTTGCGTCATCTTCTTTTTCGTTTTATGTTTTTAAGGCGAGAATGAGGACCTAGTAGAAAATGTAATAATGGAAACTGAAGCCTGCCTTATTAAAGGTTAGTGTGTCGGAGCGTTTCCAGAATAACGTGTACAGAAAAGAAAGCGAGACAACAACAACCCACGTAGATGCCGTGGCTTCGGAGCGGGAATCGTCTCAAATGGGAAGGCTGGCTTTTGGAATAGTGGGCGGAGCTAAAGCAGATTCAGAACGAAAGCTGGTTTAAGCCCGCAGGGTTCAGTGCTCGGGTCTGTTAGGAACCTATTTGCTGTATTGTATTTAATTTACGTATTTATTTAATTTACACTCTTAGAAAAGATGGTTCTGCAAGGGTTCTTCAGTGAAGGCAGTGGTTCTATTTTGAACCGTGAGTTCCATGTAGAACCATGTCATGCTTGAATGGTTCTCTGCATGGTCAAATGGTTCTTTAGATTGATGGAGAATGTGTTGTATATGGTTCTACATAGCACCAAAAAGGGTTCTTCTGTTGTTAGAGTAGGAGAACCCTTTTTGGTGCTGTGTAGAACCAAAAAGGTTAGATATAGAACCATATACACACATTCTTCATCAATCTGAAGAACTATTTCACCATGCAAAGAACGCTTTAAGCATGCAAATGGTTCACGGTTCTAAATAGAAGCATTGCCTTTACTAAAGAACCCTTGCAGAACCGTCTTGTTTAAGAGTGTCAGCTTGGAGAAAGGGATGTAGGTTAGCATCGCCTCTGCTCGTCTGGCCTCTTTCGGAGGGACCAGGCCGGAAGAACACAGGCGATGCGCTCTTCACACTATTATTTTATTATTTTATTATTTAATTTTATTTTATTATTTTATTTATTTATGTATGTTTCGATGTTTTCATTTCCAATGTTTTGAATATTTACACCGGCTGAGGTACCATGTTACAGGAAACCATTTGAGAACCAGACATACATGGCAAACAATTGTAGAGTAAATCTGTCAATGTCTAATTATACTGATGAACATCTTGGGAAAATATATATATAAATATACATATATATTGGAAAAAAAGACAATTATGATGACCTGTGTTTATTGTTCCGAGTTAGAAATTAAAATGTGTGTGTGTTTGAAAAACAATGACAACATTAAACAAAAGAAATATATGATACAAATACTTGTGCGCTCTTTATTTTCAAAACTAACTGTGTTTTTTTGGATGTTGATAAAGGGGAATTCCACCCATTTTTCAAAGTTTCTGCAAAATTAAGTGGTTATGATGCATGAAATCATCATCAACATTCCATATAAACTCAGAAGACTCGTGTAGGTTCACTGGTGGTTCTGGATGGTAAATAAAATGTCTATATTTGTGTTGTTGTCATGGCGACCCCTGGTTCCTATCACCACCACTGTAAAGACATCTGAACCGTTTCACACCAAACCACTCTGAATCTCTCTGTTTACACCTCATACTCTCAACTGTGCAGGAATTTTGAAAAATTGGTGCTTTGAGTTGTTTAAATGTGTAGTTTGCTCATTTGCATCAAATATTACAGGTGAGTAATTGTACATATTTTTCATTATGATACGTATCATTATTCAGGAGTTGCAGTGTGATGTAATGTGGGTTAAAAAACATGAAATCAAGTCTTACAGAAACATGTTAGTGTTTACATTAAAGCATGATGTTAAATCATGCTGCTTAAAGATGTAAGAAAATGATTAATAAATTAAATATTAATATTCAGCATCAATCTGGCCTATAGTTACTACTATACTACTTTATACTTTTCGATATGTAAATTACTTTTTTCTGTTCATTTACAACCCCGTTTCCAAAAAAATTGGAATGCAGTGGAAAATGTAAATAAAAACAAAATGCAATAATGTGCATTTAAACCCCATATTTAATTTAAAATAGTACAAAGACAACATATCAGATACTGAATCTGAGAAATTTTATTGTGTTTTGAAAAATATTTGCCCATTTAGAATTTGATGCCAACAACACATTTCAAAAAAGTTGGGACAGGGGCAACAAAAGACTGGTAAAGTTGTGTAATGCTAAAAAAACACCTGGTGGAACATCTCACGACTACTTAGGTCAACTGTCAGCAGGTCAGTAACATGATTGGGTATAAAGCATCTCAGAGAGGCGGAGTCTTTCAGAAGTAAAGGTGAGGAGGGGTTCACCACTCTGTGAAAGACTGCACCATCAAATAGTGCAACAATTCAAGAATAACGTTTCTCAACATAAAATAGCAAAGAACTTTCGCTTTTCATCATCTACGGTACAAAATATCATTAAAAGATTCAGAGAATCTGGAGAAATCGCTGTATGCAAGGGGCAAGGCCAAAAACCAGTACTGACTGATCGTGATCTTTGGACTTTCAAGCGGCACGGCATTAAAAACAGACATGATTCTGTAGTGGAAATCACTGCATGGGCTCAGAAACACTTCTGAAAACCACTGCGTATGAAAACAGTTTGTTGCTGCATCCACAAATACAAGTTAAAACTTGAAGAAGGAACCGCATATAAACAGGACCCAGAAACGCCGCCGCCTTCTCTGGGCCAGAGCTCGTTTAAGATGGACTGAGGCAAAGTGGAAAAGTGTCCTGTGGTCTGACAATTCTTGGAAATCATGGATGCCGCTTCCACCAGGCTAAAGAAGAGAAGGACCATCTGACTTGTTATTAGCACACAGTTTAAAAGCCAGCTTCCGTGATGGTATGGGGTGCATTAGGGCGCATCTGTGAAGGCACCATTAATGCTGAACGATATATACATGTTTTGGTGACATATGCTGCATCCAGACAACATCTTTTTCAGGGAAGGCCTTGATTATTTCAGCAAGACAATGTCAAACCACATTCTGCAAGTATTACAACAGCATGGCTCTGTAGGAAAAGAGTCTAAACTGGCATGCCTGCTGTCCAGACCTAATTCTAAAAAAATTAATATCCAGAATTAGGTGCTAATAAAAATAATATCCAGAATATCCTTGATGGTGATCAAATTAAATCATTTAAATTGGCTATAAATAAATAACTTAAATATATTTGTAATTTATTACCTTCTTGTTGTTAAAAAAGTCCTCCCCAACAAAAAAAAAACAGCTAAAAAAACTACAATATTTCACAAAAATAATATTATTTTATCCACTAAGTTAATATTGAAAGAAACAACATTATAGAAGTGCATAACTTCGTTCCTTTAAAGCCACCATGCTGCCCGTTAGGACTTCACTGCCTTACAGTAACAGAAACACTGATGTTTACATGATGCAGATTAATACCTGAATGACACCTCAGCTCACTGTCTCTGAGTCATATCTGTCTCTGAACACAGACGAACCTTTTAAATTAAAGTCTAAACTGTCTATTCTGTTCTGAAAAATAACACCAAATGACCTTCTTATATATTTGATAAATAAATAGAAAGCTAAAATATCTATTTTAAACTGGTGCGCATGGTACAGGTATATATTTTCGGCAGAGCTTGGACACCCTCTAGTGGCGGGTTTATGTATTGCACATCTAACAGACAGAAACGCCTGTAAACACTGAACGTTTGTATTGTTTTGAGCCTTTGTACTTCCACTCACTGGTCAATTTGAGGTCCACTGTAGATCCACCATCCCTTTGTACATTCTGAGAATAGTGCATCACCCAGAAACTGACTGATGATAAATGAAGTAGATAAACTGTGCATTAAAGGGGAATTCCACCCAAATTGTTCAAAATTTCTGCATAATTCAGTGTGTGAGATGTAAACAGAGTGACTCAGAGTGGTTTGGTGTGAAATGGTTCAGATGTCTTTACAGTGGTGGTGATAGGAACCAGGGGTCGCCATGATGACAAATATAGACATTTTATTTACTATCCAAAACTACCAGTGAACCCGCATGTATGTATATATATATATATATATATATATAAATATATATATATATGTATATATATATAGTCATTCAGGTCATCAGCCAGGCCTCACCACACTGATGCAGGGTTGTTGGCTGAAAACCTGTTTTTCAACTTTTCAGTGTAACTTTTTACAGCCACTCTGATCTCCTTTGACAGTGAGTTTCTGGCCTGTTTGTAGGGCCCTGTCTCCACTCCTCCACTGCCTTGGCCTGACAGAGTTGTCTTAGTTTGGCTGCGAACCATGGCTTGTTATTGTTGTACGTGCGGAAGGTCCTGGCTGGCACATATTTCTTCGCAAAAACTGATGTAGGATGTCACAGTGTCAGTCAGTTCATCCAGGTTGTCGGTTGCAGCTTCAAAAACACCCCAGTCGGTACATTGAAAACAGTCTTGCAGTTCTTGCTTTGCCTCTCTGGCCCAATTCTTCACTGTTTGTACTACAGGCTTTGCAGATTTTAGTTTCTGCCTGTAGGTTGGAATAAGATGAACAAAGCTGCTCAGGGGACAGAGCGATATGCATCTTTAAGAATAGTGTAGCAGTGGTCCAGTGTGTTATTATCCCTGTTAGGACAATTAATATGCTGCCTTTTCTTTGGTAGTTCTTGGATTAATTTTGCTCTGTTAGAGTCCCCAGTGATTATGAAGAGTGAGTCTGTATCACCAATATAGCCATTTTATTTACTATCTGAAACCCCCAGTGAACCTACATGTGTCTTCTGAGTTTTTATATGTAAAATTAGATGGTAAAATCTTGAAAAATACGTTTTCTTTGGGGACTGTTTGCATGTATCCCTCCGCTACGACTGGATTAAAATATGTTTTAGGCCAAATATTTATCACAGAATTATCGTAAAACAGTGTCTCAGTCATCAGGCAGTGAATTCACAACCATTTCATGTAGTAACTTTCTGTGAGGGAGCTTTTAGAGGTGGACGTCTGGTTCCTATCACCACCACTGTGAACAGTTCTGACTCGGTAAGTTTATCTAGAACGTAGCGTTTCACACCAAACCACTCTGAACCGCTCTGTTTACATCTTAAATACTGAATTATGCAGAATTTTCTTTAAATGGGTGGACTTCCCCTTTAAAACAGACGGCCCAAAGTCTTCGTATGTTTATAACGTATTATAATTGTTCAGCCCTATAGATGGACCCCATAAGGTGGCCAAAGGTGTCTAATAAAGTTAATATGATTAATGAATATGAAGTATCATGTATAATGCAGCGCGTGTGTACACTGCGGGGAAAGCCCAGTGTTCTCAATATGTAAATTAGGACAGGAGCGCTTCTTCAACGTGACAGCCGAGAAAAAAATAACACGGCACGCAGCGCGTCGTCCAATCAGAGCTTTAGATTCTGGCACAGGGGCGCGGTTTACTCTGATTGGGCGGTGATGTTGTCATCGAGTAGCCAATCAGCTGCGAGAGCCGTTGCCCATGCACGTGTGGAATTTCGTGTTGAGTGTGCTGAGGGCTTCGGAGACGTGCATTCGACTCGTAGCTGTAAATGCGTCGTTGCTTGAGATTTTTGTCTCCGATTTTCTTCCACAATTCTTTCTCTACAGTCGTAATAAGAGGCTCTTCTCGAACCAAGAAGTCGATCTAAGGTAAGAAACCTGCCTCTGCCTCAGAATTGCCCCTTTTTTATCGCTGTTTTGTGGCCGAATTAAGATAAAGAACGGTGGGCGGTGTAGCTAAGCCAACGTTTAAGGGCAACGCCGCCGATTTTTCAGTATAAATTCTGCATAATGAAACGATTAAGATGTAAACAAAGGTCGTTTGGTGTGAAACGATGCGTTTTAGAGAAACTTACCGAGTCAGAATTGTTCACAGTGGCGGTGATAGGAACCAGACGTCCACCTCTAAAAGCTCCCTCACAAAATGTTATTGCATGAAATGGTTATTAAATCACTGCCTGATGACTGAGACACTGTTTTACGATAGTTTTGTGATAATTTTGTGGCTTAGAATATATTTGGATCTATTTATTTTAACCCGTTCATGGCGAAGGGATACGTGCAGGGTGGCGTGAGGCAAAACAGTCCCCACAGAAAGCTTATTATTTCAGATTTCCACTATTTTCCATCATCAACATTGCTTGTAAAACTCAGAAGACTCGTGTAGGTTCACTGGTGGTTCTGGATAGTAAATAAAATGTCTATATTTGTGTTGTAGTCATGGCGACGTTTGGTTCCTATCACCACCACTGTAAAGACATCTGAACCATTTCACACCAAACCACTCTGAATCTCTCTGTTCACATCTCACACACTGAGTTATGGAGGGAATTTGGAAAATCAGTGGAGTTCCCCTTTAAGTTAAAGGGCCTTGTGGAGGATTTGTGCCAAAGTGTTCATTGTTATTTTGGATTATGTTCCAGATTTCAGATGAACAAAGCTGTTGTTATTGCTGTCTAATTCTCTCTGCATATGGTTGATCATTCTTGCTTGTTTGGCAGTGACTCTCAGCTGGAGCTAAACTTGAACTTCAGGTATATTTAACCTGTAGCTGCAACTACCAGACTTTAATCCCTTTACCTGTAGAAGTGTGGTCGTTTCATCCCTTTATTTAGCAGTTTGTCCTCCACGACTCATCTATCTGTCCTTCTAGCTGCCTGGCTTCAAATATAAATAAACTTTTCCCCATGAAAGTAAAGCATCTCTCTCTCTCTCTCTCTCTGTATTTGTTTGTATGTGCAGATAGATGTATAGTTACATACATGGTAGGACAGAATACGTTGATGTTGTTGATGGCTGAATTCTGAATAGACTGTCTTAAATGTATTTAGTAATGTATTCATGTATTATAATGCACTAAAAAATAATGTTTTTAGTAGCACTGAGATTAATAACTGATAATCACATCGATTTATCAGTCTACTCAGGCTTTAGCAGAGCTCAATAACACAGAGATTAGCCTAGCAACCACCTGGGACTGCAAAGCAGCAGACTAGCAACACAGCAACCTCTTGGGATAGCACAGCAAATGCTTAGCAACACCTTAGTAACCACCTGGGATACTATGGCAGTGGCGTAGGAACACCTTAGCAACCACCTGGGATACTATAGCAATGGCATAGGAACACCTTAGCAACCACCTGGGATACTATAGCAATGGCATAGGAGCAGCTTAGCAACCACCTAGGACAGTATAGCAATGGCATAAGAACACCTTAGCAACTACCTGGGATACTATATCAATGGCATAGGAACACCTTAGCAACTACCTAGGGTACCATAGCAACACCTCAGCAACACCTTGGCAACCACCTGGGATACTATAGCAATGGCATAAGAACACCTTAGCAACCACCTGTGATACTGTAGCAATGGCATAAGAACACCTTAGCAACCGCCTGGAATACTATAGCAATGGCATAAGAACACCTTAGCAACTACCTAGGGTACCATAGCAACACCTCAGCAACACCTTGGCAACCACCTGGGATACTATAGCAATGGCATAAGAACACCTTAGCAACCGCCTGGAATACTATAGCAATGGCATAAGAACACCTTAGCAACTACCTAGGGTACCATAGCAACACCTCAGCAACACCTTGGCAACCACCTGGGATACTATAGCAATGGCATAAGAACACCTTAGCAACCACCTGTGATACTGTAGCAATGGCATAAGAACACCTTAGCAACCGCCTGGAATACTATAGCAATGGCATAAGAACACTTTAGCAACTACCTAGGGTACCATAGCAACACCTCAGCAACACCTTGGCAACCACCTGGGATACTATAGCAATGGCATAAGAACACCTTAGCAACCGCCTGGAATACTATAGCAATGGCATAAGAACACCTTAGCAACTATCTAGGGTACCATAGCAACACCTCAGCAACACCTTGGCAACCACCTGGGATACTATAGCAATGGCATAAGAACACCTTAGCAAGCACCTGTGATACTGTAGCAATGGTATAGCAACACCTTGGCAACCACCTAGGGTACCATAGCAACACCCCAGCAACACCTTGGCAACCACCTGGGAAACAATTGCAATGGCATAGAAACCCTTTAGCAAGCACCTGTGATACTATAGCAGTGGCATAGGAACACCTCAGCAACCACCTGGGATACTATAGCAATGGCATAGCAACATCTTAGCAACCACTTTGGATACTATAGCAACGGCATAAGAACACCTTGGCAACCACCTGGGATACAAAAGCAATGGCACAGGAACATCTTAGCAACCACCTAGGGTAGCATAGTAACAGCCTAGCAACACCTTGGTAACCACCTGATATACCATAGCACTGGCATAGAAACACCTTAGCAACCTCCTGGGATACTATAGCAAAGGCCCAGCAACACCTTAGCAACCATCTGGGATACTATAGCAATGGCCTAGCAACACGTTAGCAACCACTTGGGATACTATAGCAGTAGCATAGGAACACCTTAGCTACCACCTGGGATACAAAAGCAATGGCATAGAAACATCTTAGCAATCACCTAGTGTACCATAGCAACAGCCGAGCAGCACCTTGGCCACCACCTGGGATAGTATAGCGGTAGCATAGGAATACCTTAGCAACCACCTGGGATACTATAGCAATAGCATAGGAACAACTTAGCTTCCACCTGGGATACTATAGCTGTGGCATAGGAACACCTTAGCAACCACATGGGATACTGTAGCAATGACATAGGAACACCTTAGCAACCACCTGGGATACCATAGCAATGGCTTAGGAACATCTTAGCATCCACCTGGGATACTATAGCTGTGGCATAGGAACACCTTAGCAACCACATGGGATACTATAGCTATGACATAGGAACACCTTAGCAACCACCTGGGATACTATAGCAGTGGCATAAGAACACCTTAGCAACCACCTGGGATACCATAGCAATGGCTTAGGAACATCTTAGCATCCACCTGGGATACTATGGCAGTGGCATAGGAACACCTTAGCAACCACCTGGGCTGCTTTAGCAATGGCGTAGGAACACCTTAGCAACCACCTGGGATGTTATAGCTATGGCATAGGAACACCTTAGCAACCATCTGGGCTACTATAGCTGTGGCGTAGGAACACCTTAGCAACCACCTGGGATACTATAGCACTGGCATAGGAACACCTTAGCAACCACCTGTGATACTATAGCAGTGGCATAAGAACACCTTAGCAACCACCTGGGTTACTATAGCAATGGCATAGGAACACCTTAGCAACCACCTACGGTACCACAGCAACAGCCTAGCAACTCGTTAGCAACCACCTGGGATTCTATAGCGATGCCATAGGAACACCTTAGCAACCACCTACGGTACCATAGCAACAGCCTAGCAACACCTTGGCAACCACCTGGGACTTTTGTTTTGCTGTACATTAATCTGAAGTGGCTTTTCTTCTCTTTTCTTTGTATTTCCAGGTGTAGAGTGATTCTAGAATCAGCGAAGGACTGAGGACTCGAAGGGAGTCGAGAAGAACCCTGCAGACTGACCAGACCGGACGGACCGTTCCGTCTTCTGCGAGGATTCTGTGTCTGCTGATTCATGCTTTCTCGTAGAACCATTTCAGTACACATGAGCGGAACACACTGTGTGACCTAGTCTCAGTTGTATTATGAGTGATGTTAACTTACAGACCGCTGTCAGCAATGATACCGGTAAAGGGGTTGGAGGGACGGACGAGGATGACGGAAAGAAACATAGAACCGGTTCCACCAGGTTGAGCAGCAGGGGTACGGTCGGTCGTAGTGGCCGCTCCGTGACCGACAGTTCCGGGACGGCGCAACGGTCACACTCTGATGACACAGACGCCCAGTCCAGCGGGAACGATTCTCCCGAGAGAGAGTGCGATGGTCATGCGGGTCAGGAGGCGTCCACCTGCAGCTCTAACAATGGAAAGGACTCTGCTATAGAGGCCACAGAGAGCAAGAGGTACCCATACAGTCAGAAACCGTCCTGCTTCTACCTCTTTAGGTCGTTTCATAAGAGTATATAATGGGGGCTGTACCAGAAAACCTATTTTTTTCTGGTTAAATACAGTTCTCAGTTCTGTGGTCAAGGTCTGATTCAGTGTCCTGTGCTTTGGACATTTCTACAGATCTCACATAGACGTACTTCAGTGTCTGCTGTTCCACCATCTAACAAAATAAACCCTAAAATTAGCGACTTCATAAAAATCTGCCCACTTTACTTTGATTGGCTGCACCCAGATGCCTATGTTTGATAATTGACAGTGGCTTCCATGAAAGATCTGATTAAGAAAGCAGCTGAAAACATGCATTAAAACTACGGCAACTACTAGACAGAAATAAATAAAATAAGATAATGTTATTATAAGCTGGTTGTTGTTTATCTGAGCAATTAGTGTGTTTTTTGCTTGTAAAATCATTATAGATCATAAAAATAGACACAAATAAGCTTAAATGCAAGAAAGTTGTTGAAAATGTTAAAAATATTGTTGATAGGAGGTAGTTTGAAAAAGTTTGGTTCCAGATTTCTCCTGGATGCCTGGAGCCGTAACATGGATTTATTAAATGACATCAGCAGCACCTGATTTAACACAATGAAGTATTGATTGGATGAGTAATACAAATGATACTGGGCTGAAGGCAGGAAATGGTTAAACAAGCACATTAACATACATAAAAATACTGTTTACTACTATATTAATATTGTGTGAATTTATTATATTGTTTGTGTTTTTACTGCCCACATGAAGGTTTAAGTCAGATGCCAAAAAATAGTGTTGTGTGTGTTTGTTTGTTTGTTTATGTATTTATTTATTCATATTTTAAAATATAGATCATTGTACTGATTTATTTCACAGTCTTTTAACTGATTTTGGACTTAAGACTAAAATCCTGTGAACAGCCGTTCACACATAAAATCATCATATTTTTCATCAAAACACTAAAAAGTGTTAAACTGCAGAAAATATGATGATTCTTAATGTTCCACACTGATCTTCAGACTTTGGGACACATTTACTTCAAAACAATGGGATCTAACTGCTCACCATGTGGCCATGAGGGACAGGGATGCAGCCTCACTTCCTGCTCTAAAATGCAGGGGCGTGGCTAAAATAAGGCTCCGCCCACAGACTAAAACTTTCGGTAGTGACGAAAACGCGGCACAGCATTTTTTTTTTTTAAATAAACTTATGATTAAATTAAAATCTTTCATCTTCACTTTAAAAGAAATCAAAAAAATCTTTAAAAAAAATGTTTTTTTGTTAGTAGATGTTTTTGTTTTTTGTTTTTCCAACAGAAAGTACTCTGTATACATGATGAAGTATAAATGATGATGATGATGATGATTATTTTGAGTATAATCATCTTATTACTGTCTCTATTAAAGCCTTAGATTTAAATAGATCAGAACATAATCCATGTAAATATCTAAGGCCTGAATATTTGTTTTTGTACTGTGGGACCACAGTTTGAACAAATTCAGTCGAATCATCCATATATAAAATGGAGCATATAGGCACGCCATTACGGGCAGTAAAATGGGTCATAATCTCTTTTTTGTGGTCTATGCAGTTCTTCAGTGTTCTAGAAGTACTGACCACAATCATCATATACCCAGAAAAGAGTATCCTGGTCAAATTTATCGCTGGAATGAGGACATATTGTCACATCGCCTGCCCATAATTAATAAGTGAACTTATTATTTCTTGCTCTTACCCTCTTCTCCCGTCCTCCAGCTCCAACTCGCACAGCCCGTCTCCTCCCAGCAGCTCGGCCGCCTACAGCCTGCTAAGCGGCAGCTCTGAGCAGGACCAGCCGTCCACCAGCGGATGCAGCAGTGACCAGTCTGCACGCCTGCAGACGCAGAAGGAGCTGCTGAAGGCCCTGCATGAGCTGAAGATCCGCGTTCCAGCGGAGCAGCGAGGGAAAGGCCGGTCCAGCACGCTGGCCTCGCTGCAGTACGCTCTCAACTGCGTTAAACAAGTGCGGGGTGAGTGCTGGACGCAATACTTCAGTCCTTACCTAGTTGCATTTGAGTTGCACGTTGGCTGCTTTGTGACTTAATTTGACCTTTAGAGTGAAGACGTGTGAAATAATGACATTCGTGTGGGTTTATGGCCCCAAAACAGTCTTAAATCCATTTTACATAACAATTTTCAAGCAATCCAGGCTGAAACAGTCTTTATAACTGCTTCAGTGTGATTGGGCGGAGCTAAATGGCCAAAGGTTGCATAGGCAGATGTGTGTAAGTGTGCTGGTTTGTGTGACATCACAAAAACATAGATATCAAAACGGGCTGAGGTCTAAGTCAGACTGCACGAGTTTTACCACGATTTTAGCCCCGATTCTCAGTCTGGCTGAGTCTGTGCTGGTCGGCTCTAGTCTGAAGATTTTGGGTCAGTCTGAGTCGACAGTCAGATTTTTGGCCTCCCAATCGCGTCTCAGACCAGTCAGAGTTTATTAAACATGTTTGATTTTTTTGACCCGACTCTGAGAGTAATCTAGTGTAAACTGGTCAACGACTCAATCTGAACGCATTCCTGCAACAGCCGATGAAAACTGTGAGTGCAAAAGAAGAAAATATGAGTAAACAAGAAAAAATGTGGAGTGAAGGATTTTATGAGCTGCGTTTAAGGCACAGTCGAGTTTATGTACATTTAAAAGTCTAAAAATATCAAAACTGATCACTTTTTTAAATCCATGATCCTCATTTAAACATGTTTACCTGCTGCTTCTTTACTGTTTCAGCGCAAACGGCAGAGAAAACAGCAGCAGCCACTACACGTTTGTTTATTTGCGTCTCCTAGTAATCGGAGAAAGCGAGAGTTCGGTGAGGTCAGTGAGCTCCGTTTGCTTTAGCAGCAGCTTAAAAGTTGAGTAGTGTAGGATCCCTAATTGTTTAGTGAGGATCTCCAATATTTCCAAAAAAATCTGCAAACACCAGTCGGATAGTGAGATGGCCAGTTTTTTAATAATCTGTTCAGACTTTAACTGTCGTGTAGTGAACTCAAGGCTTTCATTTCCAAAAATGAGCTGATGGGTTGGAGAATAACAGTGTTTACACAATATGGGCCCCTTTAAATGAATACGCAACACTAATTTTGCTCTTATAAAATATTTAAAAAAAGACTTATCAGCAATTTTGAAAAATGAATTTGGTCTGAACCATCTTGTGTTGTGATTTCACAGCCAATCAGGAGTACTACCACCAGTGGAGTGTGGAGGAAAATCATGGCTGCTGCCTGGATCTGTCCGCGTTCACCGTGGAAGAGCTGGACAACATCACTTCAGAATACGCACTTCAAAACACTGTAAGGCAAACAGCAAAACACACAACACACAATCTCGTTTATCGGCTGCTGTTTGTTTCCAGCCCGACTTTCCTTTCGTTGTTTTATGTTACGGATGTTCAGAATTTGCTCTGTGTGCCTTTGTTTCTAGGATACGTTCTCCGTGGCCGTGTCCTTCCTCTCAGGGAAAGTGGTCTATATCTCTCCGCAGGCGTCCTCTCTGCTGCGCTGTAAGCCGGAGAGGCTGCAGGGGTCTGTGTTTTCTGAGCTTTTGGCCCCTCAGGACGTCAGCACCTTCTACAGCAGCACAGCCCCCTGCCGCCTGCCTCCGTGGGCCTCCTGCACCGGCACTGGTACGGCTGTTATCTAGAGATTTAGAGACACTCGTGGGTTTATAAAATTTGTTTTTTTTGTGTGTCACTATTATGGAGATGTACGACTGTATGAGGCTAGAATGTGTAAAATCTGGTCTAGCACAGTTTTTCCTTTAACTTTGGCCAATTAATGTCAATAATTCTTTCAAGAAGGGAACAAACTTAAATCTGACATGTTTTCTTGCACATTTTAGAGCACAGTTTTGATTTATTTAAGTCAGTTGAGTGTAACATATTCGGCTAAAAACTGAAATAAAAAATGTGCTGTAACTTTTTTTTCCCCCCAGTTTACTAAATTCAGCAAATAAAGAGTAATTGTGCATTAAAATGTGCAGAAGTGTGTTCTCTGTAGATGACCAGAGGTGCACAAACTTTTGCATATGACTGTATCTTCATAAATATATATAAAATCACAACGTTTTATAAGTGGCCTAGTTAATAATTATGGTTATTAACGTTTAACAGAAATTATATATGAACCACTTAATTAAATAATCATTAAAGAAAAGTAAATAACTGCTTAATCATTCAAAAGACAATTTGTTCATAATTCTTATGGAATGTGTTTATGCGATTAAGTAAACGCATAATGTTTCAAGTTATGGAATTTGGGTTATGAGTATCAAAAATGGAATCATTATTAATAAACTATTATTAATGATTAGGTTTCTGCAATTCAGAATAATTACTGATTGTTCGTCAGTCCAGTAGATGGTTAATAATTGAAATGGTACCATTTGTTAATGTTAGTGTAACTATTACATAACAGTCGTTAACAAACTGAGATAATTATTAAGTTGCTGTATTAATGAAGGGATGACCGTGGGCACTATTTAGCATGACTGCATTTGCATGATGTTAATTGATGGCCATTATGTTCATTAACTGTTACCATCGTTAGCTTTAGCTTTGCTGACCTGTGCTGTGTTGTTTTGCAGCCTCCCCGGTGGACTGCGCTCAGGAGAAGTCCATGTTCTGCCGAATCAGCGGCGAGAGAGAGAGCGGAGGAGAGCTGAAATATTATCCGTTCCGGCTGACGCCGTATCGGCTGATTCTGCGGGACTCGGACACGTCTCAGCCCGAGCCGTGCTGTCTGCTCATCACCGAGAGGGTGCACTCCGGATACGAGGGTGAGGGACTGACTTAAGCAACCTTGCTTTTTTTCAGAGTACAGACACAATTAAGGCTTTAAGATGTAAACAACTAATGTTTTTAAGTATATGTGATGTACATTAGTTCAACCAGGTCAGGAACCACATAATCAGTTCTGTTAGAGATACTGAACACCTCCACATGGTTTGAGGGAAGTGGGTGATTATTTAGGCTGTTAGCACTGTTAGCTAATTAGTAAGGTAGTTGTCCATTACCTGAAGGACTACATTTACATTAAGGGGTGAAGGAAGTGTGGAAATTTGGCCAAACCTTTGCTTTGGAGGGTCAGTATCATGGATAGTCAAATTTTCCTCACTTTTTTGGAAATAAAGGAGATTAATGTGGAACGTAAACAGTGTTAAAGTTTCAAAATATCCTTACAGTGTAAATATGAAAGGATGTGAAGGATAAAGTATATATATAGTGTCTATCTTTAGTTTAGATGTATGTATGTATGTATGTGTGTGTGTGTGTGCGCGTATATATATATATATATATATATATATATATATATATATATATATATATATATATATAATCTGTTCTGATTGGCAATCTCTGATTCAAAAAGCGCTCAGAGCTGAAACACTCCTCCTTATAACTTCAGTGTGAGTGGGTGGGGCTAAAGCACTGTAGGCCAAATAGGTAGATACATATAAACAAGTTGATTCTTGACGTCACAGAAACAATGAATTCAAAACAGGCTGTTTTTTGCAGGTTAGTTTCCACATAAGGCCTGTTCGGAGTGAGGAGTGTATGGTGAAGTTTTAAAAGTGTTCACATATTTCTTCATTACCTTTCAAGGCACAGCATGTTTAATTCTAAGGGATAAAGAGAGGTTGAAAAATGATCATGTAGATACGTTATGACTCTTTTTAGTAAAAGAAGCAGTTCAAACGTCCCATGTGGACCTTAGGCAGAAAAGTATAAGACCTTTTAATGAGTGAAATTGACTTTTGGTGAGATTTGAGAAAGGAAATAGGGGAAAAGAACGAGCTAGTTTTATGATGTTTCCCCATAACTGTAAGAATCATACTTAAATTCTGTTTTTATCTCTTTCAGCACCACGAATCCCTGCAGACAAAAGAATCTTCACCACCAGCCACTCTCCGAGCTGCCTGTTCCAGGAGATTGATGAGAGGTTAGTTGGACCTTAGTTTGTTTGTTTGTTTGTTTGTTTGTTTTTATTTATTTCTACTTACCTACCTACCTACCTTCTTTCTTACTTACTTACCTACTTACTTACTTTATCATTGTTGTCCTTCCCCATAATCTGGTCTTGGTTTAATGCTCCCTTTTTCAAATTAGAAATATTTTTCAATGTCAGACTGAACTCTTTTCCTAAAAGATTCCTCAGTAATAGTTTACATAATGTCCTCTCTTCTCAGAGCCGTCCCGTTGCTGGGTTATCTCCCTCAGGACCTGGTGGGGACGCCGCTGATGTTGTGCCTTCATCCTGAAGACAGACCGCTTATGGTGGACATTCACAAAAAAAGTGAGTGGCATGTAGGCAGTTTTCTCCTATTGTTATTAGGAGTTTACATGTCTGACCTCACAGCGGTCCAATTTGAGTTCAAGATTCATAAGCATCATTAAATCTCTAGTTTCACTGCGATTCACACACACACATTATCTAAGCTGCTTATCCTCCTGGGTTGCAGGGGTTGTTGGAGCCTGTTCTAGCAGCTATTGAGTGAAAGGCGGGAAACACCCTGGCAGGTCACCAGTTCATCGCAGGGCAGACAGACATACACATTCACACCTAGGGGTAATTTAGCATCTCCAGTTGGCTTGACTGCATGTCTTAGGACTGTGGGAGGAAACCCACACAGACACGGGGAGAACATGCAAACCCCACACAGACAGGCCCCTGGTCGCCTGACTGGGGCATCGAACCCAGGCCCTTCTTGCTGTGAGGCGACAGCGCCACTGCAATTCGGTTTGATTCAGTCATTTTGATACGATTCCAGCTTCAACTGAATACACTGTTGTGACTGTAGGATCTGTGAACGCTGTGGTAGAATATAGACAACAAAACTAACACAGTGAGGTGTTGTTTACATTTAAAAAATATGCAAGGATTTTTATTTTGACCACATCCTTAGATGCTATTTTATGCCCTCATGTTAGTCACGTCTTCAGCTGCAGCACCTCAGCCGGCCAAGCTACTCAGAAGTTCAGACATTTCAGAATATTTTGCAGAAATATTCGACTGTAGATGCTCTTTTGTTGTTCCCCATCTTCTTTTCTCTGTGTTCCAGTTGTACAGTATGCCGGTCAGCCTATTGACCACACGCCCCTGCGCATGTGTGCACGGAGTGGGGAATATCTGACCATGGACACCAGCTGGTCGTCCTTCATCAACCCCTGGAGCAGGAAGGTGGCTTTCATCGTGGGACGGCACAAAGTCAGAACGTGAGTCAGCAAAGTCGCTACGATTCAACTTTTTTTGATAGATAGACACAAGAGTTCATAATTCAAGGGTTCTTTAGTAGAGAAAATGCTTCTATATAGAACCATGAACATTCCTGGAACACTGTCCATGATTAAAGGGTTCTTTGCATTGTGAAAGGGTTACTTTTCCATTTATAACTATTTTCTTTACTAAAGAACCCTTGAACCATCATTTTTAACTGTGTAGATACAAATAAAAAGGATTATGCAAGACCTAGATATATAAGTAGTGTTAAAACTATATAAATGTTTTAACAGTTCTTACAGTTAGAGCTGGGCGATATGACAATGTTTATCGTTAACGAGATAAATTATCACAATATACTTTTCTGAGTACCCCCACCTGCATAGCTCATCACAAAGAGAGCACAGTCAGTCCTGTTCAGTTGTATTTAGTGCAGCACATTGTGCAAAATGTTGAATACAGATCATTGTGTTTATTGTTTTTGATAGTAGTTTTTAAATGTGGCACTACTTTGGTTGCTCCAACTTATCAGATGTCAGAAAAAATATATATAGTGACAAATCGTATCGTGCGCCCTCTCCTGGCGACAGCAGAGTAGTGTCGCTTTCCTTGCAGTAGAAAACGCCACCAGGGCTTTCGCTAAAACGTGGAAGTGTGAGAATGGTGCATTATATCGAACATTTATCGAACCTGTCTTATCGCTCTATCGAGGAAAAGTTATATCGCGACACTTATCGTTATCGTTTTATCGCCCAGCCCTACCTCCACCTCATCGTATCACTGCCGATGTGAACGCAGGCTTACAATGTACTAAAACAGCAATGTGGCTTTACAAATGTGGGCTCAAATGCAGGTGAATTCTGCTGGAACAAAGGCTCGTATCTCTGAAACGGAAACTTTACAGGAGAAGGAAAAAACATGCTTAACTTGTAATGGAAGATAATGCAACAAGACTGTTTACAAAGTCGTTTTGGGCCGTTTCTGTTGGTCCATTCATCATGGAATTTTAACACAATATAAAATGGAGTTTTCAAATTAGGCATAAAAAAGGATAAAAATGGCAAAAATGGAGATACAGGTTTTTGCCCAATTGGAGGGATGATGTGGCCAAACGAACATGCAAATATGTCTAATGTTGCTTACAATGAATATAATCCAGCAGGACATGAGGCCAGCATTGCCGTATTTACTGCTGGCTGAGCATCTTAGCGATCTGGAAGAACGAGCTCTGGTCTTGTCGCTGTCTGTGTCTGTAGGAGCCCCCTGAATGAGGACGTGTTCACGGCCCCTGAGGAAGACGAGGTGAGGCCGATGTCTCCGGAGGTTCCTCAGCTCAGTGAGCAGATCCACAAGCTGCTGGTGCAGCCGGTCCACAGCGGCGGCTCGCAGGGCTACAGCAGCCTCGGCAGCAGCGGCTCCCGCGAGCTCCATCCCAGCGCCGCCTCGTCCAGCGACAGCACCGGAGCCGCCGCAGAGGAGCCGCCACACTCCAACAAACTGGTGAGCCTTCAGTCAAATAACCTGCCTGTGAAATCAGGAGGGATGTAAATTACACCAGAGACTGTTTATTATCTATTTATTAATAATAGTGGATAATTCCCCTGGTCCATTTCCGTGTCTTATTGATTGTCAAACACATCCTCTACAGAAAACACACTCCTGCACATTTTAATGCACAGTTACTGTTCATGTGGATATATTTTTTAACATGCTAGAGAGAAAGTCAAACATAAAATGTAGCCTGTGCTAAAGTTACGGCACCATTTTGTTAAAAAATGGAAATTGTGCACTAAAATGTGCACAAAAGTGTCATATTTAAGTGTGATCTCTGTAGAGGATGTCTTAACTCATTTTCATTTAGAAAATCAAGGCATGTCTTTTGACCAGGGTGTTCAAACTTCTGCATACGACTGTATTATTACAGTCAAACGTAACTGTAACGTTCCAAAATCAGCGCACCTTCAGATTCACTCATGCAATTATCGTGAGTGTATCATCTGCATGTCGCTGCTGTCAGAAGGAAACCTTTTATCTCCGAAATGGTAACTTTACAGGAGAAGGAAAAAACATGCTTTACTCTTAATGTAGGTCAGTGGAACCAGACGTCCTTCCAAGTCATTTTGGGTCATTTCTTTTTTAAATTATGTCAAAAACTGAAAAACGACAAAAATGGATATACAAGGTTTTGTTCCGACAGCAGCAATATGTTGATAGTAGACCCTCTAGAAGTTCTCAAAGAGTACCACCATCTTTAGGGTCACATAAGTCACACAAAAAATGGTCCCTGTGCTAGACTCATACCTGAGCTCTTTTCTTCCCCTCTGCTCTGCTCATTGTCTCTTCCAGACCTTCCAGCAGATGTGTAAGGATGCGCACATGTTGAAGACCAGCGGACAGCAGGTTTACACAGAGTCGCGAAACAGACCTGCACCTCGCAAACAGGCCAGCTCAGGTACGTACAGCAGGACCTCAAACACAGAAGCCTTCGACTAACTGACACTCTGTCATAAATCGTGAGCCTTCAGCTGTTGCCATGGTTCTGATATGACCTTCATGTCTCAGTAGATATGGTAAAGGCTGCTGAAGCAGAGAGCACTTCCAGAGAGAGCCAGCAGGTGGCGACTCTTAGTCCTAAAGCACAGGCTTCCACACAGCTACCACGAAAAGAGCTCCCGGCCACCTACTCGTACCAGCAGATCAACTGTCTGGACAGCATCATCCGGTATGTGATTGCATGGATTTGAAGACGACTAGTGGATTAATAGAGCAGAACCTCGTGTCTCCAATATTGTAACTTTTAATGTTGCATAATTTTATGTTTTTCATGTTTGTGTTGATCAGAGCTGACACTCTCAAATTATGGAACAACCCCACTAAAAACAAAGCAAAACAAAAAACAAAGACACTGCAATGCTGTGAGGTTCTGTCACGAGAGAACTCAGATGTTCTAGCTGACAGTGTGTTGTTAAATGACGCATAGTCAGCTGTTTTAACCTGCCTGCTCTTAAAAAAGATGGTTCTTCAGTAAAGAAAAGAGCCATGAACACTCAACGAACCCTTTGATGATCGAAGCGTTCTTTGCATCATGAAAGGGTTCTCCAGATTGATAGAGAATGTGCTATGGATGATTCTGTATAGAACCTTTTTGAGAAGTGTTATATATCTACATCAACAAAAGAAAAACCCTTTTGGGTGCTATATAGAGCCCTTTTCAAACAGGTTCTATATAGAACCATCTACAGCACATTATGAAGAACGCTGTAATCATGCAAAGGGTTCTTTGAGTGTTCATGGCTCTTTGTAGAACCATTTTCTTAACTGAAGAACCCTTAAAGAACCATCTTTCTTAAGAGTGTACAGTTCTATTGAAAGTTTGAACTTATAAACGTTTGATTTTCTACAAAATAAAAAAAAATGCATGAAAATAACGAATCATCTTAAATATGACATTTTTCTGCAAATTTTAGTGCACAATTTCTGTTTATTTGTTGAGTTTAACATGTTGGGGAAAAAGTAAAACAACATTTAAAATGTGCCATAACTTTTGCCAAATTTCATATGTGATTTTTTTTTTTTTCCCTCAATATCTTAAATTCAGCCAATAAGCAATAATTGTGCAATAAAGTGTGCAGAAGTGTGTTCTCTGTAGAGGGTGTGTTCACATATTTTCACTTGGAAAATTAACACAGCATGAAATTTGTCTGAGGGCGTCCAAACTTTTGCATACCACTGTGTCTAGTAAATAACTAGTGCGTATGCAGCACCTGCTTGGTCTGGAAGACTTACTGGAGCACTTATTGAGGAATGACAGCATGTGTTTTATGCACAGTCACCTCTCCAGCCTTGACACAGTGCTTGTTTTGTTCCCGTCACAGTTATTTGGAGAGCTGTAAGGTTCCCAACACGGTGAAGAGGAAATGTGGTTCTTCCTCCTGCACCACGTCCTCCACCTCTGACGACGACAAGCGGAGAGAGGCAGCAGGACCAGCTAAAGGTAAACACTGTCTGTGTTTACATGCAAAGAATTCACCAATCCGATTGAACACATTCTGATTATAGATGAAGACTGAGGTGTTTATTCTCACTCTGCTCAACAATCTGATGAAAATCTCTGTTTACATTCACTCTCCAAGTAATCAGATCCAAAATTATGCGCATGTGTAGAGAACCATTTAGCGTAGATGTTACCGTGACAACCAGCATCACGTGAGCCCAGTCAGAGTGAGATGAGCAGCAGTGAGCAGCGCTTGTGTTTTTAACTGCTTTAAAATGATGTCAGACTCAGGAAAACGTCCTTCACATGTCCTTATTAAAGAAGGCCGAGAGGAAGACGTCGTGTTCTGAGACACATAAGCTGGACGTCCGTCCCACCGCCGTCTTTTAAAGATCAGAGCATAAACTTCGTCTCCTCTGCAGACCAGTTTCTGCTCCGCCATGTTGAACAGTATAAACTTTCACTACGACGCGACGAACATGATCAGAACGGACTTAAACTTTCCGATAGGGAATGTAATCAGATACAGGCGTTTACACAGATATTATTCTTCTATTTAACGGATTATTTACAGGATTACCCACCTCGTTCAGTCGGATGGAAACTGTATTCCGAATGGCCTCAAAATCAGATTGAGGTGTTTACCTGGACGTATTCTATTCCAATTGAGCTATTAGTCTGATTATTAACGGATTATCAGGCTGCATGTGAAAGTGGCTACTGTTGGGTATGTACAGAATCAACGACACGCATTTCCTTCTCTGCCCTCCAGACATAGTGGAGACACTGGAGGTGGCCGAGGGGATCAAAAGTGGTCCCTGCTGAGCCGACTCACCCCCTGACTCCTCTGGCTCTACACTACAAGGCCGAGAGCGTGGTGTCTGTGACTTCCCAGTGCAGTTTCAGCAGCACCATCGTCCACGTCGGAGACAAGAAGCCACCAGAGTCAGGTAGGACTGTTCTGGAATCCTCTCTGTAGCCCATTTCACACACTTAGCACTTGGGACATTACTGGGTTCCTTTGCCACTGATGTTCAGGCTTTACATCATTCACGCTGTTCACAGTGTTTTATTGGGATGCACGTTCACACTGAGCAGTTTTTGCTGCTTCTCTTGAGTGGTTTGCCTTTACAGTCATACAAAATATACTTCTGTAACGTTTTCCACTCATAAACAGAAGGCTTGACTGTAAAAACAACAGAAGCCACTTCATTACTCACGTTCCTGATGGGCATCTAGAGTCCCAAGAAAACACAGTTAAGAAGATTAGATATGTGTTAAATAGCCTAATTTTTTATATTTCTAGCTGAAATTTGCAACAATAGTGATTATTTTTAATAATTTTAATGCAGCGCCCCCTCTGCCGTGATTATAATCTATTATTCCATGTTTGTAAGTGATGACACAACTGCGTGAAGACAGACTGGTATGAATAAAGAGATAGTCTACGGCCCTGTCCCATTTCTTATTTTTACCCCTACCCCTTGTTTTCGAGTGTTGTCCCTTGGAACTGAGTTACAGGGTAGTGGTTGAGATCTTCCCTCAAATAAAAAGAGCATCACTTCATTAACAGCTACCAGCGCTGCTCTGTAGGCGACCCTGCCAGTCTGCAGTGACAGCAGAGGAGGGTAAAGTTCAGCTCCTCACTGCTGGGCTTTAGTTACATTTAGGAAATCATATGATCTTCAAAGAGGGGGGCAATTATTTATTATCACCCACCCCTAATTCTTCAGTGATATGAAGCTGAAGTCAGATATTCACCAGATTGTTCAAGTTTTCCTGTTCCACCTTAAATGGAGCAGCATTTCTAATGCCTGAGGCACCAGAATGTAACTGCTGGACCATTTAAGGTGAAACGAGAAATTTAGCTACTGAGACATCAGCACTGCTAGAGATTTTTATGCTTGTTATGAAGGAAAGGACCAAAATAGATTCGAACAACATTAAACTAAGATAATTCAATGTTTATCATATTTTTTTAAAAGAGAAAATTCTCACATTTTTGGGTTTATTGTCATTTTCACAGTCATCTTGCTGGTTTTTCTTCTTTTCTCATATCTCTCTGTTTGGAGTCTCTGAAAAACCTCCGTTTGGAGGGTCATGTAGCCCAAACACTTCGCCCTACCCCTCTATCTCAACAACAATCGGGACACCCTACCCCTAAATGTGAACGCGCAAAACAGAGGGCTAAGGGCTAAGAGGTGAAATGTGATTAGACTTACATTATGGACAGGAAGTCCTTCGGTGTGAATCTGTAAGTGTTGAGAAGGAAAATCAATTAAAGTGAAACAAGCACGTCAAAGAAAAAGCAAAAAGAGTGAGGAGAGCGGACAGTTCGTCCCCACACTTACAAAACTAACTTTGTTTTTTAGTCAGAACAGAGAGCTGAACAGGCTCAGCAGTACCTAATGCTAGCGTTAGTGTTGGTATAGATAGCTCCAGTGTTGAGTAATTACTCAAAAAAGTAACTGAATACAAATGAATAATAACTTCTTTCAAAACGTGATGGGATTATGTTACTTGTTACCTGCTGAGCCCTAGTTTCGTAAGAAACGTACTGGGTGTCAGGCAGTGAAATTGCAGCGCAAGTCATAACGGGATGCATTTTATTACCAAATAACTGAAGTCAAACTGAAATAAAACCAAAAAAACAGATAATAAATACTATTATTGAAAATGGCTGAAAAGGTATACAACTGGTTCTCAAGTTTTCATGATTTTAGGCCTGTTTTTATGTGTTGCATCCATATTTTGTGTGACAACTGTGGATAGTATAATATATATACTTAACTGGCCCTCACAAAACTATGACCCATAATTATAAGAGCACATTCTTGAAGGCTCTGCAGGACTGCAGTGTTTGGCTTCCACAGAGCCAAGTGCAGACTGTAGTACTACAGTAACCAAAACTGAAGCTTTTTTGTTTCTTCACCAGACATTGTAATGATGGAGGAGCCTCCAACCACCCCGACTCCTGCACCATCTACCGCAGCCCTCCAAAACCCCACCGCGTCTCCCACAGGGGTGACTCCGCTGCCTGCTGCCTCCCCCAGCCCTGCGGAGAAGGAGAAGGAGAAAGATAAAGAGGGGAGACGAGGGGGTGGAGGAGTGAGCAGATGGGGGCTCACTAAAGAAGTGCTGTCCACTCACACTCAGCAGGAGGAGCAGGCCTTCCTGAACCGCTTCAGAGACCTGAGCCAACTGCGGCTGATCCAGTCCAGCCCGACCCAGCAGAGACAAGCGGCCACACCTGCGGCGAAAGGTACGGCACTGAGACTTCAGGCTGGATTCCCGAGTGAGGATTGAGCCTAGTGTTGGATTAAATTGCAATACCAAATGGGGATTCGCTGTAATTGAAGATGTAGTTATGATGAAGGGCCCAGTCATGTTAGCTCTTCATCAGACCAGTTATGTGAGCATAATTAGATTTAATTAGCCAAAAAACCGTCATGATCAGTACTCCTCCTTCACAGACTTCACGGACAGAAGTTAGATTTCACATGCAAAAATTTTCACATCTTAAGTGTGCAGCACTGAAGACACTGACACCATGATATATATACAAAAACATAAACGTCGTGATATTTTGTTTTCCTGATTCGAGTAGGGCTGGACAGTGTGGTGATATTTACTTCTATTGTGATACATTACATCAAAATATGTCACAGTCTGCTTTTCTGAGCACATTGTGGACATCTATACTTCTAGAACTGGACGTTTCATTACAAAAGGAGTATAATTAGTCCTGATTTAGTGTGGTACAATATACACGTTTGAATATAATCATTTGTATTTTTTTAACGTGTCGCTACTGTTTTTGTCTGTTCAAAGTTATTAAACCTCAGAAAAACTAAATATCATGACATGAAAATTTCTCGAAATATTGGCCCATTATGTTTTTGACATATTGCCCACCAACTTTTATATATATCACCGATTTACATATCGCTGTTGTCAGAATAAAACCTCGTATCTCCATTTTTGACTTTTTCAGTTTTTGACATAATTTGAAAATGCCTGTTACCCTTTATATTGTAAGTAAATTTCATGATGAATGGACTAAAAGAAACGGCCCAAAATGACTTAGAAAAAAATTCTGGTTCCATTGACTTACATTAAAAGTAAAGTATGTTTTTTCCTTCTCCTGTAAAGTTACCATTTTGGAGATACGAGGTTTTGTTCTGACAACAGTGATATGTAAATTAGGCAGTCAGTCAGGAAGCTGTCTTTACTTTTGTGTGATTGATTTATTTATTTATTTATTTATTTAAACTGTTTTTGGTCAGAGGTTTAGCCGGTCACTGCTGACTTGCTTACTCAACTGAGTTTTTTTTATTTTTTTGTTCATTGCCAGTTTTTTGGTTGTGCATTGGTCATACCTTCTTTGCAATGCAAAACCCTTTCTAAATTTCTAGACATCTTCAATGAAAAGTCTTTCTTTATTATTGTAATTGTAAAGTCTTGTTTTCACCCTGCTCTCCTTTTTTATGCTGTTTAGGTGTCCGCAGTTCCCAGGACTACCCAGCAGGTGGAGGTAGTGGGCGGCGGCGGGGCAGAGGAGGCAAAAGACTCAAACATCAAGCCGAGGGCTCTTTCCCCGACAGCCCGGCCCTGTCCACGTCCGGGCCTAGCATGCCCCCTAGATCGACAGCAGACGGTCCAAGTGTCCCAGCTTTCCCCAGCAGTCAGCACCTTTCTGCGGGGGCTCAGTCATCCTCCTCCCCCTGGCCAACTTCCGTGGGCTCCCAGGCTAGCGGACCACCCATAATGACCTCATATCCTCCCGGCTGCACGCCCTTCTACTCCCTGTACCCCCCATTCCCTGTCCCGCAGGTGGAGGTGGACCCGAGGATGCAGGCGGCGTTTTCTTGCCCCCAGCCAGGCCCAAGATTTCCACTGCAAGGTTCTCAAATGTTCCCCTCAGTGGTTCCTCCGGTTATGGCCTTTATCCTGCCTAACTGTATGTTCCCTCAGCTTAATGGTCCTAATGCTGCAATGCAACAGCTTGGACAGGCCATGCCCCTGCCCACCCAGCTCAACCCCCAGTTCAATCCAGCATTGTCTCAGATTAGCCCTGCTGTGGCTAATTTTAACCCCACTTTGGGGCAGTTTAACCCGCTAGCCCCCCAGCTCAATCCCACCCAGCCTTTAGCCGTACCTCAGCAATTCTACAACCCCAACCTTCTGTTTGGATTCCAAAACGGAGCTGCTGTACCTGCCCCGCCTCCCCCAGCAGCCCCGCCCGCCCGCGGCCCCTCTCGCTCCAGCACCCCTCAGTCCACCGGCCAGCCGGCTCCGGACCGCGAGGGGGCGGGGTCTCCTCTCTTTCACTCCCGATGCTCCTCGCCTCTCAACCTGCTGCAGCTGGAGGAGTTGCCGAGCAACCGTACCGATGTCACACAGCAGACCCCGCCCCCAGGGGGAGGGGCCACCCAAGCAGCACAGACCACCGGGACCCGTAGCAGCTCTAAAGACGCCGTGAGTGAAGAGGTTTGGATAAAAAACATTTTTTTTCATAGGGGTCACTGCATGACATACGGTTGTCTATTAAAAATGTGTGCAGAATTCAGGCTTTAAGGTGACTTTTACTGCAGTTTTTAGCTTTTTTACTGACATTTAAACTCTGCATCAGTGTTAATGTCTTTTTTTCACTCTGTGCTTCTTTGATCCGATCTCTCAGGCTGAAGTCAACGAGTCCAACCAGGACGCCATGTCCACCTCCAGTGACCTGCTGGACCTGCTGCTGCAGGAGGACTCTCGCTCAGGAACGGGTTCGGCTGCCTCGGGCTCAGGGTCCTCGGGATCTGGCTCCGGATCCTCCGGCTCTGGATCTAACGGCTGTAGCACGTCAGGAAGTGGCACTAGTGAGTTCTAACAATAAGATGGAAATTTTCACTGTTGAGTGTTTTCTGTTCTAAAGCCCAGGGCAGAACAGTTCTAAGGGGGGCACAATATATTGTGTGTTAATCGTGATATTAGACAGAATGAGCTTTTACCGTCACTGGGGGCTGTTACAGTCATCTTAACTCAGTTAACCGTCGCCAGGCACAAGGCAAAGCATAGTATAACCACGATGTTGTATTTTTTCCATATTGTGCAGCTGTAAAAACCGTATTCGAAGTGCAGGAATCTGGTGTTAATTAAAGAACAGTACTAGAAGAAAAAAAATCTAGAAGAAGGCATCTGTGAATTGTTTCATTTGCACAGGAGTATTGATATATATTACCTTCTGATCTGTTTCAATCCTAGGAAGCAGTAATACCAGCAAGTACTTCGGCAGCATAGACTCATCAGAGAACGACCACGGTCACAAGCAAGCATCAGGGGGCTCAGGAGAGGAGCAGTTTATTAAATACGTCCTCCAGGATCCGATCTGGCTCGTCATGGCCAACACAGACGAGAAAGTAATGATGACCTACCAGATGCCCAAAAGGTATAAAATACAGCTGTTCCTCCAGCGGCTGAGCACAGGAGTTGTTAGACTGAGTTTTTAAAAGTTTCTGAAAGATGCCTGTGCTTGGAAACGTTAATTTAGAGATGCACAATAGTATAAGATTCATAACTTAAATTGAATTTTTAGCTGACTGATCACTGTAATGCGTACAGTTCTGTATCTGTGTGCTTGTGTGTTGCAGGGACAGGGAGGCGGTGCTGCGAGAGGACAGAGAGGTTATGAAGACTGCCCAGATGCAGCAGCCACACTTTACTGAGGAGCAGAAGAAAGAGCTGAGTCAGGTCCACCCATGGATCCAAACCGGCTGCCTCCCCAAAGCCATCAATATCACTGTGAGAGGCTCTCATTAAAAACTCTTTGCTGATCTTGAAGCTAAAGCACTGCTGGAGTAGCAGATTTATACTGGATTAAAATCACTCCACAATTATTACCGTCAGACTGTAAAACTACACACACTGCAGATTCATACTGGATTAAAATCGCTCCACAATTATTACAGTCAGACTGTAAAACTACACACACTGCAGATTCATACTGGATTAAAATCACTCCACAATTATTACAGTCAGACTGTAAAACTACACACACTGCAGATTCATACTGGATTAAAATCACTCCACAATTATTACTGTCAGACTGTAAAACTACACACACTGCAGATTCATACTGGATTAAAACTGGATCTGGTCAATAATTACTTAAGTTGCACATAGAGCCCAGATAAAATGTATCAAGCTTGTCTAGAGCTTTATCCAGAATAAGTCCTGTTGTTGTTGTTGTTGTTGTTGTTGTTGTTGTTGTTTTTAAACCTCATCACTGGATGTCATTCACCCCACAGTCCTGCAGAGGGTGTGGTTCCCCTACAGAAGCCTCCTCTGCCCCACCATTTGATGTGGAGCTCCACGACATGGATCTCACCAGGATCCTGAGGGAAGAGAGTGATCACATTACCGCGGTCACGGCTGATTCGGCGCTTCCCGACAGCCCGCAGTCATCAGAAACGGCTCAGAGAGAAGCTCCGGCTGACACGAGTAACACAAATGCTCGGGATGAGGCTGTGAAGGAGGCAGAGGTGACGTCATCGTCATCGTCAGTGGAAGTGAAACAGGACTGAGCGCTGTTTCACTGATTTGCCAGTTATTAGATCCAGCTGCCGTATACCTACACCTGTTGGCCATTTTATCAGAAGCACTCACCACGTTGTATGTTTGCAGTTGCAGACTGTAGCCCATCAAGTCTTATCAGCACCCCTACAGTGTCTAACTGCTCACCCACAAGGTGGCGCTGCAGGGCTGTAAATGCACCTGCATGGACCTGATGGCCAGTGAAACACCGAAATCAATGCACTTCGTTCTGTAGGCTGACTCAGAGGACGACGGCCCAGTCTCATTTCTTCTTTTTACCCCTACCCCTTGTTTTCGAGTGTCACCCTAACCCCTTGGAACTGAGTTACAAGGGGTTACCCCTCTATCTTAACAAGAATCGGGACACCCTACCCCTAGACATGAACGTGCAAAACAGAGGGCTAATGGCGAAGTGGTGGGGCGAGGGGTGAAATGGGACTGGGCCAACGTGTGATTGCCTTTAGATGGCTGTGTCGTTGACCAGAGTTTAGTTGTGTGTCGTTGGTATTGTCTTAAATGTATCATCGTCCTAGTCAGTAGAAAATGTAAAATAAATAATGTGATATTACTTTGAGATCCGTTTAAGGACAATGCATTAGAAACACTTACTTTTTTGTGGTTTGTTCAAGTTTTCTATCTAAGTTTCAGTCTTTTTTATGCCATTTCTGCATTTTTTTGTCGAAAAAAATAATGATTGTATGCACCAAAGACAATCTAGAATAGGCACATTTTATTTGAAATTGAACTCATGCACATTGACCGTATGTGTGTGATTTTTGTTTATTCTAAAATGTGGTGGTGTTGATCCTGTCTGTGTGTTTTTTTTTTTGTTTGTTTTTTTTTTATGCACAGTTTAGAGCTGCTGTATATCCTGCCGACCAAATCCAGAATAATCCACCTATTTTCTCCTGTCTAGATAAAAAATATGCAGTTTGTAATGGTTTGTTTTGTATTATTTGTCTGTTTTCGGACAAAAGGAGCAGAACTAAGCCTCCGATTTGCGAGGAGCTGATCTGGCCGTTCCTATGGAAACGCGGTAATCTTGCTGGGTGGACATTAATCGTGTGTAAACAGAAAGAAAAAAACCCAGCACAGTGTGCCTGAGGTTCAGAGCGATTTCAAGACTTTAGCCGACGATGCTGATTCCTTAATTCTTCTGAATGAGCGTCTGTTGGCTGCGTTTCACTCCCCCGAGTTTGAATGCTGGGGCTTTCGAAAAGCTTGTCTGTGAAAACAGTCGGCTTCCAATCAGTTTACATGCAGTAGATGGTCTTGATAGGAGCTTCTCGGAACAGGACAGTCTCTTTTACGCCACGTTGGGTCAACTCTTGCCACGTGGGTCAGACTTTTATTGAAGGAACACTTCAGTGGATGTCAACTTCATCTCTACCTGCTGCATCTGTAGCTTACGGTCATAAAACAATGTAACAGACCAGTAGAGGTCAGTGGGCAGTTGCTTCTGCATGTATATAATAGAAGCCAGTGAGCAGCTGCCCATCGACTTACATTAAAGCGTGTTTGGAGTGAACAGATTTTATATTATTTTCTAAGTGCAGGAAAACATAACGACTTTATTATCTGTGGTAATGACTATTAGTTACAAATGCAGCAGATATTAAAGAGGTATAAAAATACCGAAGTATTCCTTTAAAACAGTGATTTACAGAGGATTCCTCTCTATTGTTTCATTTAATATTCAAATAAATAAATGTTGACAGTTGAACAAACTTTGTTGTTTTGTCTGTTTTTTCAGTTATTTGGAAATGAGAAACGATCTTTAATACATTTTCACACAACCCTTTTCCCCCTGCTCTGATCTGATTGGCTGGCCTGCAGAGCACCTCCTTCAAAACGCTTTTTTACAAAGAAAAATAAAAGTACCTTAAGTGTGTGAGGGTGGGGCTAAACTGCAATAGGCTGTATAGGCTGATATATGCAAATGCATCACTAAAAGTCAATTCAAAATTAGGTTGTTTCTGTAAGCTGGTCTGAATGGGACGTTTGGGAACTTTAACAGTCCAACTCTTATTTTAAAAAGTGAGGGGAAAAATCTATAATATGGGCCTTTTAAGAGCTGAGTTGTTTAGTTAATGTGGAATCTGTCAGGCTGCTTTTAAAAGGCGTAAACAATAAGTGAGTCCAGGCTTCCCAGGCTCGATGATTTGGGGAACGAGTCCGTCCAAACCAAACAAATTTTGAGGCACAGCTATCGGAAAGAATTTGTATGTGTTTGGGAGTGAAGATGGTTTGGACATTCCTCATTCTGCCATTTTTTTCCCCATTGTTGAAGCAGCATTGGATGCAGAATCCATGATTTAACATGTGATTCCTGACTGGATGGAACTGAGACAACACTCATCACGCGCTACTAAGAAGCTATGGATTTTGTGTGGTCTAGGAGACCCTTCCAAAGTATGTCTTCATACCCCTCTCTCTCTCTGGAGTAGATGACAAAAACTGACGTTGAAATATTCCTTATTTGTGTTGGCCGTCCTCTAGTCCTTCATCAGTGGTCAGTTTCTGACCCCCCAGAGCTGCTCTTGGCTGGACATCTTTGGGTCTCACACTAGCAGATGGCTCACACAAACTGTACATCTATTGATGCCAAAGTACTGCTGTGCAGAGAACGGACCACCACCTGAATAATATCTGGACAACAGAGACCGTAGTGTCAGAAAATGACCAATGATGAATGGGATAGAGGGGTGCTGATGAACTGTAGATGGGCTACAGGCTGTAATTTTACACCGATATAGTGACCAATAAGGTTGGGGTTTCCAATAAAGTGCCCAGTCAGTGGAAACACAAGGTGGATGTTTCTAATAAAGTGGCCAGTGAGTGGAAGCACAAGTTGTGTGTTTCTAATAAAGTGGCCACTGAGTGAAAGCACAAGGTAGGTGTTTCTAATAAAGTGGCCAGTGAGTGGCAGTACAAGGTAGGTGTTTCTAATAAAGTGGCCAGTGAGTGGAAGCACAAGGTAGGTGTTTGTAATAAAGTGGCCAATTAGTGAAAGCACAAAGTGGGCGTTTCTAATAAAGTGGCCAGCTAGTGGACGCACAAGGTAGGTGTTTCTAATAAAGTGGCCAGTGCAGACAAATTTGTATCCTGACAATTTAAAAACTTTAGCAGCCGTCAAGGTCACTTCGACTTTCTTCAAATCAACCTCTTCTTATCTGTAAACACTGGAGAAACCATAATAGCAGAGAGGAGCACTGCGGCCAGACTGCCCTAAAATTAGATTTTATGTGTGAAGTGCATGTCAGCAGCTTTCATTCATCGCCTCAACCGAGCTGTTTTTGTTTTCTTCACCATTTCACAGCAGGGTTATCAGATCAGGTCACAACCAACTTCTGCAACTTTTATCTGAAACTGTTTTTCCCCTCTTTTTGCTCGCACACTTGTTTCAGTTAAATCTGCTCCTCAGAGACGTGTTTATCCCTTAGAATTAAACAGACTGTCACTACACCTCTGAATCATCATGATGATCTCCATGGACAATCCACACCTCAAACAGACTCACTCTGATCTTACTGCAACTATAATCTAGCAATCTATATCTGCACATATAGACTGAAATCTTGCATATCTACTATCCATATCTTGTATAATCTGGAAAATATATATATATATATATATATTCTTTCACCTGTGTACCTGCATCTCCTTTGTCTACCTCAGACTCACTAAATGCATATATGGCAATGTGTATAACTGTACATATCAAAGCTTTTACTGGTGCAACACTGTGTACATATATATATATATATATATATATATATATATATATATATATATATATATTCACGCATCTTAGCACCTGTATAAATGTGATGTGACAACAAACATGATTTGATTTGATTTGACTTTCTGTTACTGTGCTTTTAAGACTGGTATATGTAAATAAGCTGTGCTCTGATTGGCTGTGCCTCAGTTCAGACTGAAACACTCCTTCAGACTTCAGCTTGAGTGGGTGGAGCTAAACTGCGGAGGGCTGAATAGATAATACGCAAATAAGTTACTTTTGACACCACAGAAAAAAGTAATAGTAAGTAAGTCTTTTATTTCATAACTGTGAGGGAAATGCAGTTTTCCACAATAAGGGCCCAGTAATGTTTTACAATCATTTATTTCTTCTGTTCATTTATGTATTTTTCTGTTTTATGTTAAAACTGTAAAGTAATTTTGCGTTTCATACATTATGTTGACTTTTCTTTTGAAATCACTGCTTTGTAAAGCACTTATGAGCAAGTCTAAGTGACCTTAATGAAGACCTGATGCATCCTGAGAGGGGAGAGAGGAGTTTTGGGGATGTATTTACAGAAAAGATTTGGGTGACTATTGAATTTTAGTGTTTGCTAGCAACGTTAGCCTTGTAGCTCCAGTTCTAAACTAAGGAAGTGAACTTCAGACACCAAACGTTTTTTGGCTGATCGACTACATTTGGGGTGAGTAGGAAATTATCTACATTTTATTTTTCACCGAACTATCCCTTTAACTTACTCTAGACCGAACCAGTGTTCTCTAACCTTCAACGTTGGTTCTTCAAGAGTTCTTCAGTAAAGAAAATGGACACTCAAAGAACGCTTTGATGATTAAATGGTTCTTTGCATGGTGAAATAGTTCTTCAGAAGATTGATGGAGAGTGTGCTGTAGATGGTTCTACATAGAACCTTTTTGTAAAGTGTTCTATATGGCACCAAAAAAGGTTCTTCTAATGTGACAAGCTTGACATCGTAACAGTAGAAGAACCCTTTTTGATGCTTCATAGAACCATATACAGCACAATCTCCAACAATCTGTAGAACCATTTCACCATACAAAGAACCCTTTAATCATACAACGGGTTCTGTGAGTGTTCATGGTTCTGTATAGAACCATTTTCTTTACTGAAGATCCCTCATTTTTAAGCATATAGGAAAATTGAGGTTAAACCTGGCAAAACAACATTATTTATTAATGAATTTCCTTGTCATTATTAAAGTACCACCCCACCCAGTACGTCTCACTCTGTGTCGTCTCTCTGCACTATTCCTCCTCCAGACCCCCCCTCTGTTGCCCCCCAGTTGGAATCTGTTTCTTTTTTGAGGAGTTGTTTCTCTGTTCTACACCCTTTGGACTGCTGCCAGCTGTGAGGGGTCATTGTAATCCTCCTGTTGCCTCTCCACGCCTCCTCCACTGCCTCCCCCTTCCGCCCCCCAGCAACGCTCCCACGTCACCACATTCCTGAGTCCTGCTGACTCTTATCACGACTCCAGCCAGACGCCACCAGGACAAACGCCAAGACACGCAGAGCTTCTCCCCGCTGTGACTCATCAACCTCGCGCCAGTCGCCTCTGTGTGTTTGCTGAAGTGTTCAGGCACCACAAGCGTGAAGGAACAGCCCACAGTGCTGAACATCACTAACCGTGATTCTGTTCCTTTAACCTTCATGACTCTGTGTGTCTGTGTTGGTGAAGCTCTGCAGGTCTCAAAAGTCAGTCAGCAACAGAAAACCATATGGAGCCGATTCCTCAACATCTGGACAGGACAGATCAACAGTGTCCCCGTAGAACAATACACACATATTTACAATACTCACTTACACAAACTTCAATAACGACTCCCTCAGTCGGGCCTGGTCACCAGCAAAACCAGCATATGTTGGATTGGGTGCTGACCAACCAGCTGAGCGACAAGCTAAACCAGCGCGAACCATTAGACCAGCACAGAATTCATGCTGGTCTGTGCTGCTTTTTTCTGTATAGCTTTGAATTTGTATCACTGTTGCTAATGCTGTCTGTCTATCTATCTATCTATCTATCTATCTATGTATCTATCTATCTGTCTGTCTGTCTGTCTATCTATCTATCTGTCTGTCTGTCTGTCTGTCTATCTATCTGTTTGTCTGTCTCTGTCTATCTATCTATCTATCTATCTATCTATCTATCTATCTGTCTGTCTGTCTGTCTGTCTATCTATCTATCTATCTATCTATCTATCTATCTATCTGTCTATCTCTGTCTGTCTGTCTGTCTGACTATCTATCTGTTTGTCTGTCTGTCTGTCTGAGTATCTATCTATCTCTCTGTCTGTCTATCCACCTGTCTGTCTGTCTGTCTGTCTGTTTGTCTAAGTCCAGCCTATGCCGAGGGGGTAAGTACGAGGGGGTAAGTTTAAGCTAAGACGTCCAACGTAAACAATCGGAGAGCTCCATATAATTTCACCCATATACTTTCACAGCAGTCATTTAAAAAACTGCTTTTGCTGATCGCTGCTGTTCAGTGTGGTCTAAAACACAGTTTTCATATTTATTTTGATGTAGATGGTTTTATGTATTTGGGAAGCTCATCTGGTTCAAACGACACAGAACACTGAATTAACCGTGTTTCTGTCAGCCACCTGCCCAGGGTGTGACTGTTAACCCTGCCTGTGGGGTGAGCAGTCACATATGCACTCATGCCACTTTTGGCTGAATGGTTGTAAAACCTCCTTCTCAGAAATGGGTGAGGTGGTGCCCAGCTCTCCCTCACAACCAGGACAGCCTTGAAAACTTCAAACAGTCGCAAATTCACTTCCACATGTATTCCACACTGCTGCTCTATTTCCACATATCAGCAAATGCTTAACAGCCTGGCTCACGCTGCACTGCGCAATGTGTGTGTAATTGAGATCAGGAGTTGTGTTAGTGCTGGAATGAGGGACAGTCAGCCTGTCCACTAAAGCCAGGCTGTTAACCACGTCCTGTGAAGCTCAAAGGCCCGAGGCACTTCCTGCCTCGACAGTACGCAGCCGACCCTCAGTCGGGACATGTTCAGTGTCTGGGGTTTGACTCTAGTTTTAGCGCTGGAGCTACGAGGCTAATGCAGCTAACAAGTAAAACATGACTGCTGCTACTGTTTTTAGCTATGCTAATGTACTTCAGTCCATGTTTATAGATAAAAGTGTGTCATACAGCATCAGAACCCCCTTAATCAAACCTATTAGAGATCACTTGAAGGGCAATTCCTTCCAATTTTTTAAATTACTACATAACTCAGTGTAATGTAAACAGAGTGATTCAGAGTGGTTTGGTGTGAAATGGTTCAGATTTCTTTATAGTGGTGGTTATGATAGGAACCAGGGGTCGCCATGACTACAACACAGATATAGACATTTTATTTACTAACCAGAACCACCAGTGAACCTACACGAGTCTTCTGAGTTTATATGGAATGTTGATGATGGGAAAATAGTAGAAAATCTGGAAAAATATTTTTTCTTTGGGGACTATTTTGCCTCACAATGTCCTGCATGTATCCCTCCACCATGAATGGATTAGAAATGATGTTTTATTCCAAAAATCTTCTCAAAACTATCATAAAACAGTGTCTCAGTCATCAGGCAGTGAATTCCTAACCATTTCATGTAGTAACTTTCTGTGAGGGAGCTTTTAGAGGTGGACGTCTGGTTCCTATCACCACCACTGTGAACAGTTCTGACTCTGTAAGTTTCTCTAGAACAGAGCTTTTCACACCAAACCACTCTGAGCGACTCTGTTTACATCTTAATCATTTAATTATGCAGAAACTTTGAAAAATCAGTGGAGTTGCCCTTTAATGTTGGTCTTCTTTCTTCAACAGCTTTCTGAACGTGAACTAGTAAAACAGGCCACACACCGTCTGCACACAAGCCACACAGATGCAGCAGTAATCTTCCCGGCTTCGCCTGTTTATGTTATTCTTGTTTTTCTTCTTTTTTCTATTTACGTGTCTCATGAATGTGCAATACCTTCTCTGGGCCAATGTCAATAAGACTGATACCAACACCAGCATCTGGCTCTGATTAAAAACAAAAACCCGCCCCCCACCCCTCGCTTAGATCCCCCCCTGTCGACACACACTCCCTCCTCTCCTTTCCTTCTCCAGCATCCCTCCCTCCGTCCCTCCTCCCCCACAGCCACTCACTCTCTCTCTTCTCCTCTGTTCTGTGGCAGCTGAGTGGAGAAAATGGAGAAGTTCAGCTGGACGTTCTGTTTGGGGCTCCTTCTGCTGCTGGCTTTCGACCGGACGCTCGGCCAGACGACCAACTACACCAGGTGGGGTAGGGGCGTGCGTGCATGCGTGTTTGATTTTGTGTATTTTCAGGACTTTGTTGTAAAACCAGAGAATGTGGAACTTATCACAGTGCTGAGAGAATCTCAGAGACTTTCATGTGTTTGATTTCCAGTTAAGCAGCCAAAAGTTATTATTTCTGAGAAGATTAGGTGTCTAAACTGGTGTTCAAAAGCTACAGAGAAAATGGGGCTCCTGGAAGACCTGGTAGACTCCAAAACTGCCCCCATCAGATAAACAGCACTTAAAGCTTTCATCTCTGAGAGAGAGGAGAAAATCAAACTGCTTCAGATCTGAAAACATCCACAGGTGTTTCTGTCCATCCTTCCACTGTGAGAAGACGACTCAGCGCTGTGGGTCTGAAAGGATGTGTAGCTGATCAAGAAGAACCTCACTGAGAAAAGGAGACGGACACATCAAACAAAGAAGCTGAACAATGGACTGACCACCCCAGAGTCCAGACCTCAGCATCACTGAATGGGTTTGATTACTGCAGAAAATGATCAACCAGCTTCTAAGACTGAACTTTGGAGGTGAGTCTGCAGAGAAACTGAAAGTGAGTCTCCTGAAAAGAATGGAAGCAGGAATAAATGGAAAGAGTGACTCACTGAACACTGAACAGCTGATATTCCTGATGCTGGAAAGTGAATAACTTGTACTTAATGGCTGTTTTGACTGGAGATTAAATAAATGAAGGGATCTCTGACTTTTGCAGATTATGTATACAGTATAATATATATGGGACACTTTCAAGCATATAAAAACTTAAAAAACATATCCAATCCAATTTCCTATGTTGTGTCCAGAATGATGAAACTTATTAAGAAATAACTTATTAAGAAATTACTACTAATAATTATTTACAGTGTATCATTGCTCATTTATTAACTTTGCTTTTGTCAGAAAAAAATATACTTCATATATACATAAAACATCTTAAAATACATATCTTACAGTATTTTATTCTACACTGTATAAGTAAAAATTAAATAAAAAAACAGCCTAATAATGTTTTAATATTTATAATAATAATAATGGAGTAATCTAGCATTAATATTGATGATTAATTGATTATTCCTATACATGCTATTCATAATAGTACATGAAAAATGTCACTACAAACATATATGTGCCTATGAGAGATCCTGCTGGTGTGGGTTTCCTCCCTTTCAGTGATTCACTTATGGCTCATTTATGCTCCCTTTACGTACGAAAAAGGACACGTCCGTTTCAAACGATGTAACCATCACTGCCCACATACTTTCATGCGTCCTTTATGTTGGCATGGATGTTAAGCAATACATTCACTAGAGGGCAGTCCAGAGTTAATATTTTCTTTGGAGGAGGTCCTAATAATGTACCAACTAAAAAAGAGACGGAAGAGGCAGTGCTGTAGACGGTGGTGTCTGTGAGGTCATTAAATACTTTGCAACATGTGGAAAGAGAATTATTTTCACTTTATATTACCGATGAGAGAAATCGGCATTGTGTTTCACATGAACTATTGGCTACACTGCCCCCCCGTGTCTTCCGGTGGTACTGCGCCATTTTGTCCGCATCCGTAAGCTTTCAGAGAACATGCACAAATACGGACGAAATAAATGCAGAGTACGGACAGAATATTTGTATCTGTGTTTAACATTGGGCATAAATGAGCCTTTAAAGCGATTTGAGCGCTAATAGCTCCCCCTTGTGGAGAATCAGCTAAAGACGGCCTACGGAAACCCCGTTTATCACTGAAATTGCAAACTAATAACTAAGCTGATTCACAGTGAACATACATTTTAATTGCTTAAATATGTAATTATGGCAGCCAGTTTTTTTGTCTGCAGTACACAAATGCTTATTCATCTACTGTATGTCATTGCACTTTGTTACAGCTGTGGAGACTGTAAATGTGATTTAAGATGTTTTTTTTGTTTTATTGGGGGTGTTTGGCTGAGTCTGTCTCCTATGCTCCCTCAGTGAGTCTATTTCTCGTTACTGAAGGGAGCAGAGGGACATTTTCTCTTTCTTCTTGGAGACTCGGCTCAAATTGAGTGATCACGCTGGCCGACGGACTGCTGGGCAAGAGCTGTGGAAAACTTCTTTGAGTGTGTTTAGAGAGCTGGAGTTCACCCACTGTTCATCCCAGTGTACACTATTTTATGAGCTTTTGAAGGAAAACTTCAGCTTATTTCAACCTAATTCTCCAGCTGCCACATCTACATTGTACCATCTGTTACCAAGTACAGTAATTTCAGTGCGTTTTGTTTACTAAGGTAAGGACAGAAAACGTTTTGCCTCAAAACTCAAGTATAATATAAGTCAGTGGGCAGTTTGCACGATTAAAGGGTTCTTTGTACCATGAAAAGGTTCTTCAGATTATTGGAAAATGTGTATGAATGTGTTATAAATGGTTCTATATAGAACCTTTTTGAAACCAAAACCCCAAAAGGGTTCTTCTGTTGTTACAAGCATGACATCATCACAATAGAAGAACTGTTTTGGGTTCCTCCAGGGTATTTTAGTGAAGAAAATTGTACTATATAGAACCATGAACACTCCAAGAACCCATGATTAAAGCTCTGTGCATGATGAAAAGGTTCTTTAGATTGATGGAAAATGTGCATGAATGTGCTATAGATTGTTGTATATTGAACCTTTTTGAAAAGGGTTCTATATAGCACCCAAAAGGGTTCTTCTATTGTTACAAGCTTGGCATTTGCATGCTTAAATGTTTCTTTGCATGGTGAAATAGTTCTTCAGATTGATGGAGAATGTGTTGTATATGGTTCTATATAGAACCTTTTTGAAAAGGGTTCTATATAGAACCAAAAAGGACTCAAGCTTGCAACAATAGAAGAACCTTTTTGGTGCTATATAAAACCAAACTGCTGTACTCTAACCTTCACCTGTGACAGTAAACAGTCACTGCACCGGTTCTTGGAGTACACACTTAAAAATGATGGTTCTTCAAGTCTTCTTAGTAAAGAAAGTGGTTCTATACAGAACCATGGACACTCAAAGAACCCTTTGCATGATTAAATGTTTCTTTGCATGGTGAAATGGTTCTTCAGATTGATGGAGAATGTGTTGTATATGGTTCTATATAGAACTTCTTCGAAAAAGGGGTCTATTTAGAACCAAAAAGGACTTATAACAACAGAAGAACCTTTTTGGTGCTAGATACACTCTAACCTTCACGTGTTACAGTAAATAGTCACTGCACCGGCTCTTGGAGTACACACTTGGTAAAAATGATGGTTCTTCAAGGGTTCTTTAGTAAAGAAAATGGTTCTATACACAACCATGGACACTCAGAGAACGCTTTGCATGATTGAAGGGTTCTTTGCATGGTGAAATGGTTTTTCAGATTGATGGAGAATGTGCTGTAGATGGCTCTACATAGAAGAACCTTTTTAAAAGGGTTCTATATGGCACTAAAAGGTTTTTCTATTATGACAAGCTTGATGTAACAATAGAAGAACTCTATTTGGTGCTGTATAGAACCATGCACAACAGGTTCTCCATCAATCTGAAGAACAATTTCACCTTCAGAGAACATTTAAGTCTGACGTGTTTCTTTGAGTGTTCATGGGTCTATATAGAACAATTGTTTTTACTAAAGAACCCTTGAAGAACCGTCTTTTTTAAGTGTGTACTGATGTGTGATATAGATGTGGCAGCTGGAGACAAATACACTAAATCCTTTAAAGATATTTTATGTTTAATATTCAGTCTACTTGACTGTAAAGTAGCCTTTATTGGTGTTTACTGAATGTGGTAATGGTGTAACATATATTAGGTCACCTCCAGCCTTTTTTCCAGGGAGCTGCAGTGTCAGTCCAGATAGAGGCCAAAGGAATTTCAGCTTCCAGTTCAGTTTCCACTTTGTTTGTCTCCCTGCAGTTCATCCAGTCTATTAGCCAGTGGCTGTATTTCACTCTATAAAGGTATGCTGGCAGAAACGAACCTGCTAAAATGAGGGAAGCAGAGTTTTTTTAATGTCATGCGGTTTAAATGCTTTAGCAGTGCTGTGGGAGGATAGAGAAACAGAAAAGAATGAACCTCTCCATGATTTTAACAGGAGAGCCTAATGAGAACAGACTCAGTTTATACCACAATACCTACATTTAGAGTCAGTTATTCATTCAGCCTAATGAGAAACTGTAGAACAGACTCAGTTTATATCACAATACCTACATTTAGAGTCGGTTATTCATTCAGCCTAATGAGAAACTGTAGAACATGATGCAGTATTTGTCCAAATACGTACATTTGGAGTGCATCAATGTGGCTTTGGTGAAAAAGGCCATGACCAAGAAGCTTTGTTGATCAATACTTTTGCTCTTTACTGGCAACACATTCTTACAGCACATTACTGAACGCTTGGTGGTTAGCCACAGAACTGGGCAAGCTAAGCCTGCTGGACTTCCACTGAAGGTAGACACAAACACCAAATAACATGCCTGTACACCACATACCAACATGGAGAACCACAGAACATGCATTTTTTTCTTTTTTTTGTTGCAACTCTAACATTAACTATAAAAAACAAGGGCATTAAGTTACCAGAATAATAGGCAGCTAACAGGAGCTCGTGGCTACACAAAGTAACAGCTAAAATAGCCAGGCACAATAACTACACGCTTAGAAAATGATGGTTCTTCACGGGTTCTTTACTAAAGAAAATGGTTTTGTATAGAACCGTGAACACTCAAAGAACCCTTTGCATGATTAAAGGATTCTTTGCATCACGAAAAGGTTTTTCAGATTGGTGGAAAATGTGCATGAATGGGCTATAGCTGGTTCTATGTAGAACCTTTTTGAAATGGGTTCTATATAGCACCAAAAGGGTTCTTCTATTGTTACAAGCTTGACATCATAACAATAGAAGAATCATTTTGGGTTCTTCAAGGGTTCTTTAGTAAAGAAAATCATTCTATATAGGTTCTATAGATTGATAGAGAATGTGTTTTATATGGTTCTATATAGAACCTTTTTGAAAAGGTTCGTCTATTGTTACAGGCTTGACATTGTAACAACAGAAGAACTATTTTTGGTGCTACATAGAACTCTTTAGAATCATCTACAGCCCATTCTCAATCAATCTGATGAACTTTTAATGATGCAAAGAACCCTTTAATCATGCAAAGGGTTCTTTGAGTCTTCACGGTTCTATCTAGAACCATTTCCTTTGCTAAAGAACCCTTAAAGAACCATCATTTTTGAGAGTGTGTAAAAGTGAATCGAATACAACGCGTCTCAAAGTTCAGCACCTCCACAGACTGTAAAAGAAGTTCTAGAAAAAGGTTCTCTGAGGGTTCTCTGTGATGTAAGTGTGGTAAAAACATTCAATGCTCTCAGTTGAGCATCTGGTATTAAAGGTTGATGTCACTCACAAACAGAAACAAAAGACCTCTGTATGTCTGAGAGAGAGACAGAGAGAGAGAGAGAGAAAGAGAGAGAGAGAGAGAGGGAGAGAGGAGAGAGAGGGGGGGGAGGGAGAGAGGAGAGAGAGAGAGAGAGAGAGAGAGAGAGAGAGGGAGAGAGAGTCTCCATCCTGTGTTCTGTGTACTCTCTCCCCTTCAGAGAAAACCGTTAGCTGTCACATCGTCTGAAGTTGATCCATCCAACACATGAGTCACACAGTGTGTTTTGAATCTGTGAGTGAAATGTTGATAAAAACATGCACTTCTTATTTTTTCCCTTTATTAATTCATGCATCCCTGTACAGCACTGTGCACACAGAGAGCTCCCTTCATTTATTTAAGTTCCAGTCAAAACAGCCATTAAGTACAAGCTCTTCACTTTCCAGCATCGGGAATATCAGCTGTGTTCAGTGCGTCACTCTTTCCCTTCATTCCAGCTCCCACTCTTTTCAGGAGCCTCACTTTCAGTTCCTCAAAGAATCTGCAGACTCACCTCCAAAGTTCAGTCTTAGAAGCTGGTTGATCATTTTCTGCAGTAATCAAACACATTCAGTGGTGCTGAGGTCTGGACTCTGGGGTGGTCAGTCCATCGTTCAGCTTCTTTGTTTGATGTGTCCGTCTCCTTTTCTCAGTGAGGTTCTTCTTGATCAGCTACACATCCTTTCAGACCCACAGCGCTGAGTCGTCTTCTCACAGTGGAAGGATGGACAGAAACACCTGTGGATGTTTTCAGATCTGAAGCAGCTTGATTTTCTCCTCTCTCTCAGAGATGAAAGTGCTGTTTATCTGATGGGGGCAGTTTTGGGGTCTGCTGGGTCTTCCAGTCTTTTCCTTCTTTATGCAAGCGGATTATCTTATATCTAATCTCCTTAGAATTATCGCCTGAGAAAAATGTATAATCTGTGTTTTATGTCCATTTTGACTGAAAAGTAAATAACTTTTGATGGTATTATACATAGTCTGCGAACTCTGTTGTCTCAGCTTCGCACTGTCTGAATGTTTTCTCCTCTCTAACTATATGTGTTGTGTCCTCAGGCCAGTGTTTCACTGTGGTGGTAATTTGGAGGGAGACTCAGGCTTCGTGGGCAGTGAGGGTTTTCCTTCCTTCTACAAACCGGACAGCAAATGCACCTGGTACATCACAGTGAGTGGAGCTGTCATGTCCAAATTTTCCAAAGACAGTGACTGTAAGAGCTGCACTGTCTAAACATTCTGCCAAAAATCAGGTTACATAATTCTAGGATGACTTGCACTCTGTGAACTTTGCTGTACAAGATGTATTGCTACTACAGAGCACTGCAAAGCTAACTTACACACTGTTAGCTGATACTGTGACTCATTTCATTGTGCTGTAGAAGTATGTATAATGAGAATAAACTGGAATTGAACTATTTTCTCCCCTCTTACCGCAAATATAGTCAATCAGCTAAGACATGTTTGGTGTCTGTAATTTGATTTTTAGTTTTAGCACTGAAGCTGTGAGGCTAATGTATCTAACAAGTAAAGGAAACTTATGGTACACCATAGATATACATGCCTGGATGCCTGGATGCCGCGTTGTCTGTTGTTCTCTATCTGAGGCAATACGTCTGGGCGTCCGCCATGTTGGAGAGGTCAAGATCCGCTTGTGAACAGATTCACTTGTATTGAGAGACGATGAGTCTCAGGATTAAATCAGCCACAACTTCCTTATTACTCAACTGATCTTCACCAAATCTGTTTTGTTATAATCCTCAGACACAGATTAATCCAGGCTGCACGGATCTGCTCTCGGTATGCTTTTATTTCTTTAATAACTGATGGTGATAATTAGCCGTCCAGACCAGCAGGAAAGTATTCAGTCTGCACCTGACGTTAAAAACAGAGTTTAGCGCAAGAAACACAAACATACACATCAGCAAATCCATCAATGTGTGAATCACTTCTAATCTTAATCCACATAACAATAAAATAAACCCCCAAAACACAGTAAGAAGGACGAAGCTTAAGTTCCTATTTGCCAGCTTCTTGTTTGAGTTTTCACGTTGCACCTTAAATGGTGCAGCAGTCACTTTCTGGTGCCTGAAGCTGCACCATTTAAGGTGGAACGGGAAAATTCGAGCAAGAAGCTGGCAAATAAGAAGCTAACTTCAGGTTCATGTAAGAAGGTGCTAATGTTAATCTGTTATGAACATCTACACGGAATAAGGAATGCTGTAACTTACCCAGCTGCAAAGCTTTAACCATCACTGTAAATAAATAACTACTACATAAAGTTAAGACCCCCTGAATAGACTATTAAATGAAATAAGCTTAATATAAAACCAGTGGAAAAACAATCACATCAACAGCTTCTCTGTTCTTCACCAACCACACGACCATATCTACACATAAACATCACACATACAATACACATCACACAAACATGAGTGTGGATCGCTGCGTTCCCTCCGTTATATAATCCTATCCCACTTTCTGAGTGTAATATTCCTGAAACAGTGTAATTTTGGACAGTATCTTTCTTAAACTGCCGCTCTGTAATGGTACTGAATGCAGTCCAGCAGTGATGTTGGCCTCCCCAAAATGGTGGCACTGTTGACGTGCCTGGCTAGACCCAACGTGGTCATCACTCGTTTGTCTAAAACCATGAGGACAAGTTAAATAATCTCTAATAGACTTCTTCATGTGTTTCCTGACACTGTATGAAATCTTTAAACATGGACTAAAGTACAGACTAAATTCAAGCTTCGTGATGGCTGCTACTGTTTTTAGCAGTAGCAACAGACTTTTATACAGTGACAGAAACCTAATGTAGCTGACAATTAATGTTAGCTTATACACCACCAACTGTATAGACTGCACTATTACATAACTCATACCCCACCAACCTTAATATTGTTTTCTGACACTGTATGACTTTTTGTTATATGTAAGTGGACAACAATTCATGCACTACTACTGTTTTAGCTATGCTAATGTGCTTTAGTCCATGTTTATAGACAACAGTGTGTCATACAGTGTCAGAAACCACATAATCAGGTCTATTAGAGAAACTGAACAACTCCACACAGTTTGTGATGATTTAGACATTCACTCAGCATCACACTAATTGGTGGGTTATAAGCCAGTGTTACTTGTTAGCTACCTTCTCTACTAAAAACAGTGCAGACGCATAGATGACCATGCTGGGGTGACCAGCTAAACCAGTATCAGCTCAGCATAAACCAGCATAGTTTAAACCAGCATGAAACACTTGGTAGTCTGCGCTGTTTTCAGGCAAATTAGTGATGGTTTAGGCACGCAGATAGCACCATGCTAACTAATTAGCTTCCATTTCTTGTTAACTACATTAGCTTCATAGCTCCAGTGCTGAAACTGAAGAAACACACCAAATGTGTCTTGACTGATTGGCTACATTTGGAGAAATTAGACTTTTCTCTACTTCTTTAATACTGTGTTATTACTTTATTCTTATATTATGACAAAGAAGCGAAAACATTGTTGAGACGGGTATATTTTGCAGTGCTGGGCTGTTTTGGAAAACATCAGGCCATATGGGGGCGATGTTGCGCTATATGACATCTGTTAAAAATCACTCAGCTTCCTTAATGCGTTAGATTTTATTTAAATTAATATTTAATTCCAACAAACAAAACCATGCAGTGTGATATAAAACCATTTCATGCTGGTCTGTGCTGGCTTATTCAGCAGGGTTAGGCTCGTAGATTCAGTATAAAACTAAAGAAGTAAACGTCATTTTTGGCTAAATTATCACTTTAATCTCTCTCTTTGTCTTTCAGGTCCCTGAAGGTAACGTGGTCATGCTCTCCTTCAGGATCTTTGACCTGGAGGCTGACCCTTTGTGCCGATATGACTACGTGGATGTGTATAACGGTCACTCTAACACGGTGCAGAAGTTGGGGCGTTTCTGCGGGACGTTTCGGCCGGGAGCACTGATCTCCACCTCCAACACCATGATGCTGGAGATGGTGTCGGACTCCGGCACCGGGGGCAGAGGCTTCCTGGCCTACTTTAACGGAGGGAAACCACATGTGGATGGTAGGGCTTCTGCTGTCACACAAGGTTTAGCAGAGCAACATGAAGATCATGAACATGAAATTTGCAATTTGAAATGCAATATGAAATTTTTTATTTAAAAAGCAGTCTGACACTGAAATATGAAGTGAAATGTAAAATTGCAATGTAAAAATTTAAATAGGAAACAAAATATGAAGTTTTCAATTTGAAAACTGCAACATGAAATGCTATAGAAAATTTTCAACAATATGCGATTTTAAATGCTATATAAAATTTGCAATATCAATTGCAATATTAAATTCACAAAATGACATCAAATATGAATTTTGCAATGAAATGCAATGTAGTATTTGCAGTATGAAAGCTGCAGGATGAAATTTGAAATATAAAGGTTGCAATAGAAAATGCAATATGAAATTTGCAAAATGAAATCTGTAGCATGAAATCTGCAATATAAAGTTTGCTATATGAAAACTTCAATATGAAATTCAGTTAGAAGTTTTCCAGGATGAAATACAATAGGAAACCTGCAAGATGACAAACAATATGAAATCTTAAATATTTTAAAACATTTTTAAAAACATTGATTTGCTGTATTATTAACATAGTCTTTTCGGGCGTCTCAGTCATTCTATTGTAGAATCTGTTACATTTTCATTATTGCCATTAGGAATCTAGAATTTCTGCCATTTATTGCTGTATCACTGGTGCAGTTGTCTGATAATCAGTGTTCATTTTCGCCTCGTTCTGTTTCAGAGCATCAGTTTTGTGGTGGAAAAATGACAAAACCGCAGGGCTCCATCAAAACCCCCAACTGGCCGGAGAAGAATTACCCACCAGGCATCAGCTGCTCGTGGCTCATCACTGTGGATCCAAGCATGGTCAGAACCAACAATAACCTCAGATACTTACAAATCAGTCTCAGGAGAGCGAACTGTAAAGTTCTAGAGGAGGAACTCATTACTCTAGTTTATCAGATTATTTCTCTCCTTCTTAAAATCAGGCTCAGTTTTCCTTCGAGCTGTTTTTTAGTGTGAAAGCCTTCATGATGGGTCTCTGCTGATATTATCAGGATAATCTTAAAAATATGCAAGGCCTTTTAAGCAAGAGGGGGTGGCTAAACTTCTTCCAAATGCGCAACCTTAAGCAACCTTCCACGAGCATTCTTACTACTGCTGGAACAATGTTTCATAACAAGTGGAGCAATACAAACGTCACAAAATTATTTAATTTAAAATCTGGTTATATAACACGTCCAGATGTTATGGTAAGAAACATTTTATCTTCTAATGTAGTTACCGTTTTGGAGATATGAGGTTTTCTTTGTAAAAAGTTGTGCATGTTGTGATCAGAAACACTCTCGTTTCAGGTTATTGAAGTGAAGTTTGATAAGTTTGATGTTGAGCCGGACACTTACTGCCGCTTCGACTACGTGGCGTTCTTTAATGGAGGGGAAAAGGACGATTCACGACGTCTCGGCAAATACTGTGGAGACGTGGCCCCTGAGTGAGTGCAGAGAGTGACCTTTAATCCCACTGACCTTTCCCAGATCAAGACTATATAACTGGCCACTTTATTGGAAACACCTATCTTGTGCGTCCACTCACTGGCCACTTTATTGGAAACACCTTCCTTGCGCTTCCGTTGACTGGCCCCTTTATTAGAAACACCGACCTTGTGCTGCCACTAACTGGCCACTTTATTGGAAACACTTACTCTGTGCTTCCACTCACTGGCCACTATATTGGAAACACCTACCTTGTGCTTCCACTTACTGGTCACTTTATTGGAAACACCTACCTTGTGCTTCCACTAACTGGCCACTTTATTAGAAACACCTGCCTTGTGCTTCCACTAACCGGCCACTTTATTGGAAACACCGACCTTGTGCTTCCACTAACTGGCCACTATATTAGAAACACCTATCTTGTGCGTCCACTCACTGGCCACTTTATTGGAAACACCTTCCTTGCGCTTCCGTTGACTGGCCCCTTTATTAGAAACACCGACCTTGTGCTGCCACTAACTGGCCACTTTATTGGAAACACTTACTCTGTGCTTCCACTCACTGGCCACTTTATTAGAAACACCTACTTTGTGCTTCCCCTCACTGGTCACTTTATTGGAAACACCCACACTGTTAAAAAAGATATGTCTTCAATGGTTCTTTAGTAAAGGGAATGATTCTGTTTAGAACCATGAGTCCTATGCAGAACCATTTGCCAGCTGAAATGGTTGTTGCATGGTGAAATGTTCAGATTGATGGAGAATGTGTTGTGTGTGGTTCTACAAAGAACCTTTTGGAAAATGGTTCCATATAGCACCTCTGTTTCTATATATGGATCTATAGATGTGACCTCTGTTGTTACGATGTCAAGCTTGTAACAGTGGAACCATATATAACACATTCTCCATCAGTCTGAAGAGCTGTTTCACCAGGAAAAGAACCATTCAAGCATGACATGGTTCTATCTAAAACTCGTGGTTCTTAATAGAACCATTCCCTTTACTAAGGAACCCTTGAAGAACCATCTTATTAAGTATTTACTTTGTTATTCCACTCTCTGTAGTGGTGTTTATTTATCAGTAGATCAGTTAATGGCCAAAGGAACCAATACTGAGCACAATGTCTGTTGATGATTTGCTGCTCTGATACAGAACTCGGTTGATGTGTGCGGTCACGTGTGTGTATACTGAGCATTTTGCAATGGCTTTGGTGCTTCGGCCAGTTAGAACTGGATCTGTCTGTTTTATAACAGCTGTTTTAGGGCACATATAAAAGCAGGCTGAGGCTCCAGTACTGATAATAAGAAACACTGGTATGAATACAGTATGTTTGACTGCTAATGCTTGAACAAGCTCTAATCATTCACCTTGGTTCCTTCTCTCTGTCTGCAGCACCATCGTGACCAACAGTAACGTCCTCCTGGTCCAGTTTGTGTCTGACCTCAGCGTGACCTTTGATGGTTTCATGGCCTCGTACTCCAGCATCCCGCGCGGCTCTCGGGCCCCCACCGCAGGCTCCAGCCAATCAGGAGGCCGCATCCATTCTGTACCCGCGAATCGCCGCCCAGCCCAGCCCCGGAAACCCGTCACCACGACAACTACACAGCCTCCAACTACAACCACGACTACCACCACCACTAAAGCTCCACTTAGACGCTTCCCAGTCAAGCCCGTCCGACCTGTCAGACCACCGGTCCACAAACCAGAACCAAGCCAGCGCAGACCGGCCCGTCCAGGTCAGAGAGGGCTCTTTACTAACTATGACATTTAGAAATACAAAAGTTTTTAAAAACACACAGTTTTTCACAATATTTTTAATGCAAATGAGCAGATTTTTATATTTTTAGATAAATAAACTGATATCCTGCATTTTTGTGGTTTTATGTAACAAAATAACTGAACATGACTATTTTCCAACCTCTCTCCATCTCTCGGAATTATACCGGCTGTTTTTGTTACTGTGCCGTTAAGACTGACATATGTGCGAATGGGCGGGGAATAGGTGGACATATGTAAATATGTTGTTTTTGTGACATCATAAAAACTGTGGATTAAAAAGGGGCTGTTTTTTTAACATTTTGGCACAACCCCAATTGTTTGTTCAAAATATGCCAAAACTACAACGGAAAAAAATAGGCACTGAATACTTGAACGATTCAAAAATAATTTTAAATAAAAACAAATAGTTTTATATAAAACAATAGACTGCATTTGCTGCTATAACTGTTTAACCTCTTTAAATGACCCCAGTGTACAGCAGGTTTTGAAAACTGCCCATTTGCTTGAACTGGATACCTGGTATCTTTTTTTTTTTTTGTGGTGCTGTCGCCTAGATTATGTTGCAGCGCATGCTGGGAACTGTAGTGCAGTTCATGGTGAAATGGGCTAATATTAGAAAATGTAGTATTTTGCGGGCTGAACAGGATTGTGCCTGACTTGGCCCGCTGGCCTTGTGTTTGATACAGGGGTTTTAAAGCGTAACAGGTTGAATTAGAGGGGAATATCACACATGTACACACTTGTGTTTGCTGAGTGTTGAAATAAATATACACAAAAGATCAGCACAGAGCTGCTTTATGACCAACAGACTTTTTTTTAGGAATATTTTCTTCCTTCACTGAAAAGTTCATTATTAATCTCACATTCTGCATTTTCACTTTTCCTTGATTTTCTTGTGATTTCCATTTTCAGTGAACCCGCTGTGCCCCAAGGCCTGTAAGAGGGACGGGCCCATAAAGGCCAGCTTCTGTGCCAGTGAATTTGGTGAGTATGTGCCTGAGTGTCAGAGTGGTCAGTCAGCGTCAGAGGTGCCATGTGCAAAAGTTTCAGCTTTAATTACACTGCATAAAATAGCACCTTGTCAAGTAAAATGATTGTAAATCTAGTCGATAAATCCAATATTTCTCCTGTTATGATTGTTGTAACTTTTTCCAGACATTTTTTACTTTTTTGAGTGATTTTATTAAGTAAAATTATCTCATTATATTAGTAGATTAGTAGATTAATTTTACTTAATAAAATTACTTAAAACAGGTAAAAAAATCTACTCTTTTTAAACAAGTACCACTTTTTTTTAGATATGGATTTAATAATCCGATAAAACAAAGCTTACTAAGTAGAGATACAACTTCTGAGGCCCCTCAGTGCCCCACTGTGGCCACGGCCGAGCTGCTGACCTACAGAACTTCATTAAAGTCAACCGATGGTTAAAATGGTTAAAGTGTCCAAATACTTTTTGCCGCCTCCGTATGTTCAGTGCTGGAGGGAATCTACTTTTGTACGAGCCCCTTTTGTCTTTTTTTCCATTGTTTATCATTGTTGTTTATCCTTTCCTCATTTTTCGTGGAAACAAATGAAAAGCTCTGCTGTTTTGTTGTGTGTGCAGTGATCACAGGCACCGTGACGGCTCTTTCGGCCGGCCCTCAGGGCAGCCTGTACGTCACAGTGTCCATCATTAAAACCTACAAGGCCGGCAGACTGACCATCACTCAGGTTGGAGAGACCATGTCTGTTAAACTGGTGCTGCCCTGCAAGACCTGTCCACTGCTGCGTAGAGGTACAAACACATTCAGTTAATGCACATACACTGACTGGCCGGTTTATTGGAAACCCCCACTTTGTGGCTACAACTCTTGCTTGTGTATATTTTTGTGCTTTACCTCTTCTTAAACTCATCAATACAAGTACAACTCACCCTTCAGAAGCTGAATCATGCAGTCATGTGGTCTCCAGTGGTCGCTTGAATAAAACATTGTAGATTGGTAGATCAAAATGATTTTGAAGCTATTATTATAAGAAAATTAAATTAAAGCCATAATTCACTTAAGATGTCTAATGCAAGTGACCACTGGACACTGGAGCACACTGGGTATCACACTCAGAGATGTGTAGAGCATCGTAAACCCATCGTTGACGCAAAGCATCGTTCCTGCAGTGATATAATGACTGTAAAAGCACCTAAAAAAACATAGAGGTACACAAGTTGCAGCTCAAGAAGTAAAAATCTACTTAAGTACTGAGTAACTTAAACTGCAGTAGAACTTCTTAGAACATCCATCATCTATCAGCCCAGGAACTGAAGTTTGCATGGCTCTATCCTTCTTTCTTTTTTTTTGGTCTAAAATAAAACACTAAAGCTCCAAAGAGGAGCTGAACCAACACAACACAGTGAAATTAAACCCAGAAAGTAAATGTAAATGATTAAAAACAGAACTGAGGAAAAAGTAGATTACTTTACTCACAAATCTACTTGAGTAGAAGCACAAACACATTTGAAAATCATCAAAATGTTACCTAATTACATGGAACTGAGTAGATACACAGCAAAAAAATGGTCTCTTGTTGAGTGCAATGATCTTAAATCCAGCTGATATAGCTAATATTTCTCATTTGGAGATTAATATAAGATTATTTGACTTACTTTTAGACATTTTGCACTTGTTGTGAGAGATTTTAGTCTAATTATCTGACTATGTTGGTTTCAAACTGATTACAATAAGCAATATATCTGCCATTGTGTAGTGAGCTAATCTGACTTACTAAAATCACTAAAACCAAGTAAAAAAATCCTAACAATAGTAAGATAATCGTATAATAAGCTTGCTAAACACTCAAAAATGAGAACTATTGGATTGTGTAATGATCTTAAATTGGAGATTTAGGATCATTACACTTGAAAAGCTGACATTTTTGCAGTGTATAATTAGATACTATGATCCACATAATATCTAAGATACTATGATTATTTCTTAATACGTATTTATGTCTGTGAGTGTAAGAGGCATGTTGATTCACATATCACCAAAACTGAGAGTATATGAGATAAACAGCCTGTAAAGTTTGTTAATAGTCAAAACCCATCAGGAATTATATGTTGATATTGTATCATTTAGAATCAAACAGCTTTAACAAGATCTGCTTGTGTGTGAGATTGTATTGATCCACACATCACCAGAACTAATATAAACAGAAATACATAAACGGCCACTTTATCAGAAACATCTGCTCCATCTTGCTGGTGGACAGTTACACTGCAAAAATGGTGTCTTGTCAAGTAAAATTATCTTAAATCTAGCCGATATATCTAATATTTCTCCTGTTGAGATTGTTGTAAGCTTATTTTAAGATTATCTAACTTATTTCTAGACATTTTTACTTGTTTTAGGTAATTTTAAAATTATCTCACTATATTGGCAGATAAATTTGCTTGTTTTAAGAAATGAGCTTGAAACCAGCAAAACTATCTGCCAGTACAGTAAGATAAATTTGACTTAAATAGATTTTACTTAATAAAATGACCTAAAACAGGTAAAAAATGTCTAGAAATAAGGTAAATAACCTTAGAATGAGTGCACAACCATCTCAAAATAAGAAATATAAGATATGCTGACTGGAATTAAGATAATTTCAATTGACAAGATACTGTTTTTGCAGTGTAGAGTGTTTGTTGACGCACAATCTTCTACCCCCGATCTCCAAATCCAGACTTTGAATCCAGTTTCTGGCCCTGTTGTTTGGTGAGACAGAAGGTGGGCCATCAGTTATATCAACAGGCCAATTGACAAAGCAATTACAAAGTCCAGGACCTCTCCTCAGTGGTCATCAGTAATCAGTTTCTGACCACTGTGCTTCTCTTGGCTGGATATTTTTGGGCAGTGGACCACTCTCAACCACCGACGTGTGCACAAATACCAGAAAGACCAGTCTAACCGACTTTTGTAACCTTTAACGGATCTTCTTTTTTCCTCCTTCAGGTCAGAACTTCATCCTGATGGGTCAGGTGGATGAAGAAGGTCGTGGCACTGTGGCTCCAGGAACCTTCATCGCTCCTTACAAAGCTCCACACCACAAAATCCTCAACAACCTCAACAACCAGCCGTGCTGATGAGCCATCTCAGGCCAAAAACACGCCACCCTGACCGCAGCAGGCCGGAGCTCGGGCCACACGTAATCCAGCATAGAGCCCATAAAAAGAAATGAACTGTATTGTTTTGTATGTTCAGGCAGCAGATCTCTCTCAGACTGTTTGTGAAACTTGACTGCAATTTCATTCGAATCTGGAGCAGCTGCTCACTCTGCAAACGGGAATGATCAACTTGGCAGCATATAAAGGGACTATATTTCACTTTATTCATTTTATACACACGAAAAAAGATGTCATATTGGTAATTTATGATGATGTCATCTAATAAAGGTTTTATATCACACCAAATGGTTTTGTTTGTTGGATTTAAATATGAATTTACATAAAACTCATTAAGGAAGCTGAGTGCCTTTCAACAGATGTCCTATAGCGCAACATCGCCCCCATATGGCCTGATGTTTTCCAAAACAGCCCAGTACTGCAAAATATACCCATCTCAACAATGTATTTGCTTCTTTGTCATAATATAAGAATAAAGTAATAACACAGTATTAAAGAAGTAGAGAAAAGTCTAATTTCCCCAAATGTAGCCAATCAGTCAAGACACATTTGGTGTGCTTCTTCAGTTTTATCACTGGAGCTACAAAGCTAATGTAGCTAACAAGAAATGGAAGCTTATGGTGTGCCAGTTAGTATGGTGCTAACTGCATACCTAAACCATCACTCATTTGCCTCATTTGCACCAAACCACTCTGAACTGCGTGGACATTTTGAAAAATCGGTGGTATTTCCCTTTAAAAAGTGAGTGAGTCCAAAAGGCCACAACACCCGCAACACATTTTTTTAGTTGAATAACATGGGTTACAAATGTAGTTCACACCTTAAATGTAGTCAATCAGCCAAGACATAATATTTGGTGCCTGAAGTCTGCTTCTTCAGTTTTAGCACTGGAGCTATGAAGCTAATGTCGCTAACATGTACTGGAAGATTATGGTCTGCCAGTTAGCATAGTGCTAACTGCTTATATAAACCATCCCTCATTTGCCTGAAAACTGTGGAGGTGTTCAGTTTCTCTAACAGACTTGTAGTTGTAGTTATGTGGTTTCTGACACTGTATGATTCACTGTTCCCTGCAGGAAAAAACGGCACAGACTAGCAAGGGTTTCATGCTGGTCTAAGCTGGTCTATGCTGGTTTATGCTGGTCTGGTTCTGGTTTATCTGGTCAGCCCAGCATGTTCATGCTGGTTGACCAGCATACCAGCATCAAAACACAACATATGCTGGTTTTGCTGGTGACCAGCCATGCTGGTCTATGCTGGTTTATCTAGCAGGGTTATCTAGGCTAATGTACTTTAGTCCACAGTTATAGGTAACCATTGGAGAATACTGAACAACTCTGCCAATTAGCATCATGCAGACTTCACCTACTGTTATATAAATGGACCAACCCTGATAGCGAGCATATATCGGTCCACTGGCTTGATAAGGTCGGCACCCCACTGATTGTTTGCCACTGCTGGTCCACCCTCGGACCACCCAGATTACTGTCATGCATACAAGTTTTAACTATTTTTTAATCTCCCCAAACAGATTTTAAATGCACACAGACTTTTATTTTGGAAAATAAACTTACAAATATTACAAAGAAATGAGAAAGAAAAAAATCATGACTAGGCCTGATATAAAAGGATTTTATAGAAAATGTTGTTTTCTGACACTGAGCTGGATTAAAATTATTTACTAAACTAATTTACAAAGAAAGGAATGAAGGAAAAATCAGTAAATTGGACTGTGAGTGGAAAATGAGTGATGATAAGTGGAATTTTGTCTAATACTCTGCTTAAACACTGGTAGACCGCCTAGAAAACACTGAGCAAAACGCCATTGGACCACCAGATTTGCCATTAGTGGGCCGACAGTGGTCCACTATCCTCTTGCTATCAGGGAAAGTGTGTTAGCATAGCAGTGGCAGCAGCAAAGTAGAGGCCTGGTGTTTTTTCTGTACTTTAATCCATGTTTATAGACAACAGTGAGTCATACAGTGTCAGAAACCACATAATCAAGACTATCAGAGATACTGAACACCTCCTCATGATTTATGGGGAGGGTGTGATGCTTTATGCATGCCGTTAGCATCATGCTAATGAGTGGCTATATGCTTACATTACTTGTTAGCAACATGTTGTCAAGAATGTTCTTCCCAAGAATGCAAGTCTGTCGAGTTCTTGGTTTAGAACAACACCCTTCGTAAACACTGTAAAGGGTTTGTATATTTGCATAACCTATAAATACTCATATTAAACTTTCAGTCATGTTGATCAGGATGAGGCCTGTTTTTCGGTATTTGGAAAGAAACCATTTGCAATCGGATAAAACACTGAGTCAAGTGTGATTTTATCTGATGCTCATTCATTGTGCAAATAACTCATAACTGGTATTTCAAAATAAAAATTTAGCGAGTAGATTTGATCAGAAATCCTAGTTACCTTCACATAGTTTTGCTTGACTAATTTTCCATATCTGTGAGTGCATTAAACAATCTGACCCACACATCACCAGAACTGAGAGCAGAGTGTAGAAGAATGAAAGGAAGAATAAACCAAATGAAGGGCAAAATGGGTTTATTTATCAATAATAAACCATTAGGACATACAGTCATATCAATTTAGTAACATCGTTAGGAAATGTTTTAACAAAAACGAGTTTGTAAATTTTTTTGTTTGTTTTGGTTTTTGTTTGTTTGGTATTTACAGCTGCTGATCTGTTACGTCTACATTATTTTGTAGATTTACTATACAGGCCATCCAGTTATCACTCTGACAGCTACAGCGCTAACTGTCCTGAGCCTGAAGAGCAAAAGAATGTTTTTATAAATTATTTATTTATTTCCTTACCCAATTATCTCCCCAATTCCAAAGCACTGACTCTATCAGTCAACTACTTCATACTCCCAATTACTTTCTAGCCTCTAGTTACTCATATATCGAGTTATTGAACTATTATAAACTATTTTATTACTGACTAAAATAACAGTCAAATACAGATTATTAATATGATTAGTGATTCCAAACTTTTGATTGGCAGGAACACTCGTGTTTTCTTGGTTTCCCAACCAAAGTTAGCTTCAGAATCTTGTCTGGATTTGAATTATGATCCCAGTGATGGGATTCTGAACGTTTACAAACCAAAATATTTCACAGTAACAAAGAAACTGCACTGGCAGTCAGGCTGTGTTCCTCATACCTGGATTATCTGTGTCAAACTCTTTAAACGGAGAACCTGAATTAGCTCTTAGCATCAAATAGACAGTTTTACACCAGTAGGGCCACACAATATGGACCGTGACTGCATTGCTACATCCTGCAGTTGTGATATGCCTTGATTGTGATATTGCTCTGCATTATTTGAACCAAAATAACTGACTTCTGTTAGCCTAGTGAAGCTGCGATTGGTCAAGTTGCTCACAGCGCACTGTAAACACTGTGATTGGACAAAGATTGTGACAAGGATTAACAAATGATATGTACTGTGCTTCCCTTATGTTCAGTCACACCAAATATGTGTTGACCTTAAAGGGGAATTCCACCAAACTTTGAAAATTTCTGTTTAATTCAGTGGTTGAGATGTAAACAAAGTCATTCAGAGTTGTCTGGAGTGAAAATGGTTCATTGTAGAGACTCATATTATTTTTTCAGTTTTCTTTGGTGGCTATTTTGCCTTAGAGCGCCCTGTATGTACCCCTCCACCACAAATGTGTTAAACAAAATAAGTTGTGCTTTAAACCAAAATATCAAAAACTATCATACAACAATGTGTCTCAGTCATCAGGCAGTGAATTCATAACCATTTCATTTAATAACTTTCTGTGAGGGAGCTTTTAGAGATGGACGCCTGGTTCCTATCACAACCACTGTGAACAATTCTGACTCGGTAAGTTTATCTAGAACAGAGCGTTTCACACCAAACCACTCTGAACGACTCTGTTTACATCTTAACCATTTAATTATGGAAAATTTTTGAAAAATCAGTGGAATTTCCCTATAACTGGATGCACAGACGTGTTAAAAAGTGACATGCTACATGTTGTTTTTAACACAAACTGCAGTATCTTGCCAAGATATGAGGAACAGGACGACAAAAACAGCAACATATACGATGCAGGTTATATATGTAAACAATTTCTGTTTTTTTTTTTATGATAGAGTCTGAAACAATCTGTCCGCCCTCTGTGGTCACCGGCCTAACCATGCATAATCAGTCCAGGTCCGGCAGAAAGGATCCAGCTGGCCTTAATTACAGTAACCGAAGAAACAAAGTTCTGGGGGGAGGAAACACACCGCTGTGTTACTGCAACTCCTTTTCACTCCCACGTTAAATTCCATCGTCCTCTCCTTCCTCCTCCTCCTCCTGACCACAGAGAGGACCGAACACACTGGAAGAAGTGCTGCATTCAACTGACTTTCAAATGTGTGCATCATTACTACATGAATAAAATATCATCGCTGTTTAAAGAAAAATAAGTAGTAACTTTACAGGAGAGATCAAAAATGCTCTTCAGTTTGAATGGAAGTTTATGTAAAGATATTTAATTCCAAACAATTTTACAGCATTTCTGTTGATTAAATCATCATGAAATTTTCACACAATGTGAAGGGAAGCTGCTGTGCTCTGATGATATAGATATATTTTTTTTTTTGGACAGCGATGATATATTACACTATTATTGCCAAAAATAAGATAAACTGAAAGGCAACAATTGTGACATGGACAAAGAAAAGATGGACACATTTGAATCGAGCCAATTCAATGCATCTATTCTCAGTGTGGGGAATTCTGGGAAATGTGCCCATAGGTCAGCAGGTGGCGTCGATGATGTTTCCGTCCATCTGGTGCCGATAGGTGACCCGGGCCTTGTGTGAAAAGTAAACAGGCCGTGTTCTGCCTCCCTCACCGTCGCACGCCCATGGGATGGAGGGAGGGAAGACAGGCTGTACCTCACCGGGGGGAACTGAGAGACAAACGAGTGAAAGAACGAGAAAAACGTGAGTGGCTTGAAGGGGAACTTCACTGATTTTTCAAAATTTCTGCATAATTAAATCATTCAGATGTGAAGTCATTCAGAGTGGTTTGATGCACAAGAGTCAAAAGTCAGAGTCCGAGTTGTTCACAGTGGTGGGGATAGGAACCAGACGTCCACCTCTAAAAGCTCCCTCATAGAAAGCTGTTACACGAAATGGTTATGAATACGATGTCTGAACTTTTGGCCTAAATAGTATTTAAAAAATCCATTAATGGTGGAGGGATACATAATTATGCAGGGCGCTGTGAGGCAAAATAGTCCCCGAAG